GGGGGGTTCGCCGGACACAGACAACTATTGATAATGCCTAGTTCTCCTGTCCTTTGGGCATACATTTTGTGGTAGAGTGGAAATGCTCAAACTTGCCAGCTCCTTCAGCAGCGATAGCTGACTATCATTTTGCATCTGAAGATCTACATATCCTTCATGGATCTTAGATCACCGTCGAACTTCTTATGCTTTGCTGTCGATGCCAGGTTTGCGATCGCGAAGTGTCTTGATAAATAATCTTTCGTCCTTTCCACTTGGTGATGCACCCGCACGCGGTAACGAAGCCAGTAAAAGCGACCACGGATTCCAGGATGCGCTGAACACGGCAAGGTGACCAGTACAAGCTGAAGTTAATGCAATCAAGACTTGGGTGTGGAAACAGATCAGAACCAGGATCGACGTGATAGACTGGCCGATATACCGTAGGTATCAATACGATCCCGTGGAATCTAAACACTGAAAAAAAGCATTAACGTTTCGTTCCTCATTGAAGGTACTTGTAGACTGTTTTCGCTTAGCTTCCTTCGCTAGAAATCCCTAAATCGTGACAAGTGGCTCGGCATTTCTCTCTGTATCAAATCGTTTGTAGAGTGTAGAGGCCCGTAATCCAGGCTCCATTTTCATGAAAGGGTTCGCGATGTGATGAGCTACCTCGGATGAAGAGGTAGTAAACATACCCGCGAGCGGGAGTGTTCGTCACTCTTTAGATCGCAACCCACAATGACGACCTAATGCTGTCGTTGAATGAATGCGGTGAACTATATGCACCACGATGTCATGGTGCGTAGTAGAATGCATGACCATACCATGTACTACTACGGTAGTAGTACATGTCAATCGACACGCAGGAGATGTTGTTGCTACTTTCTCTATTGGTGAAGATGATGCACTAATGTATTTCTCTCCTCAATTATAGTGCAGGGGCAACAGCTGCGCCCGGCGCCTTTTGCCGGAAGAACTCTTGCAGCTTCTCGTGCTGGTCCATTCCGTGCGTGAACTCCCTCAACTTGATCTTGTTACTGGTCCGGTTCCTGTCGACGAAGCCCAGATACGGCACACCGTCGAACTCGACGACTTTTTCGCTAAACTCCTGGCCAACAAAGTCATTATCTTCATCAAACCATTGACGAGGCTCACGAGCGACCACGATACGAAGCAGCACAGCGTTGTCTGGTGCAGTGTAGTTATAGTAGTGCATTACAGGTACTTCGGCCTTATCGCAGAACGGACACCATAGTCGGTTGTTGAAAGCATGTACGCCTGAGACGAAGAACATGAAGAGTGGGTAGCTGTAGTCGTAGAATGCGAGGAAATCCAAGACCTGCTTCATGTTATTGAAGTGCATGATGCGGTTGTTGTGGGGCTTTCCAGCCGCCGGTTTGTTTACCTGGAACACGACATCCAGTAGATCTTGATTCAGACAGTTAGGACCAGCAAGCAATGCCGATGAGTTACCACCACCATCATACCGCATCAACGTCGGTAAATAGTCGATATAGAAGAGTTGGTTCTGCCGGAACGGGTTCATAAGGTCGTTCCAGTACTTCTCGGAGCCAACCTGGATTTCCAACAGTCTCGATCGTCTAGGTGCACGTTTAAAACCTTTGTGCACTGCGTCTTTAACCATCTGGCAAGGTTGGAACCAATACGTGCCGTTGGCGTCTGTGTCGCTCATAAACAGCACAAACAGTGGCCCCATGCTCTCAACGTCGTACTCGCGCACGAATTTGTGCGCCTCCTCGAAGCCACGCACAACGTATTGCGTGTGAGCATGTGAGCGATCTCTCTGCACTGCCAAAGCGGCTTCAGCAGCCTGGACGAGCTTGGCGGCTGCATCTTTAGCGTTACCGGCCTCGATCTCCTCCGTGGTGGGGGACACGACGGTCTCCGCTGTGAACTGCCACATGTACGACACGGAGAGGAACATGGTGACTGCCAGCGCTAGCTGCATGAAGCGCACGGGGTTCAGCGACCAGGGCTTCGGCTCTTCACGACTTGGCGCCTTCATCTTGATGCACGGCACGCGGCAGCAGATTGGGAGACTTCGGTTCTGGTGCTGGAGGAGCTGCTACGTTTGAGCAGCGGCATAGTGTAACGACGGTGAGTTATGATTGGTCGAGGGGTTTTACAAATCTCTTTGATTGGATAAAAAGAAGAAAGTAGACAGAAATCTGATTCTGATAAACGAAGCCTTATTTTAGAGGAGCATTGGATCAATGTCACCAAGCGGAGTAATGTCATCGTTACTATATCGCTGAGTGAACTGCCATGGACTACGATGGGTGTATCCTTGCGAGGTGGCGTCAGCGTAGACTTGAGTTCTTGTTGCTCCTCATAACAGCGCTCCGTATAGTTGCTTTTCATTCGCTGAAAGAGCGTGTTGTGGTCTCTCTATTGGCTGAAAACAGATCTTCCATAATAGCGGTAATAAAGACAGCGCAAGTCTCATATCGACATGGGCAGGAAGAGCGCTTTGGCGGAGCTCCTAGCCGACCATCGGCGCCAGGAGGCCACAGAGGAGGCATCTGCCGGCACATTTGACCACGCAGCACCTCCGCCATCGTCTCCTCTTCCCGTTGCGACGTCTACGAGCTATGAACGAGCAGCAGAAGCCGCGCAAGCTCAAGCGTTCCAACCTCGCTCATCCTCATCTCATTCTAGAGGTCGTCACGAGCGAGATGCCAAGTACCGGATGGAACGAGTGTACGAAGAGGTGTCACGCAGGAAATCTCAAGTGATTGCAGGCCCTGTAGCGCCCCGTAGATCCTCTGAGACCGACAGTAGTGCCACTCCTCCGTCCGATGCACCGCTTCCGAAGGCTGCAGCAGAGAATGAAGGACTTCGCTGTACTCACCAAGCGCCAACAGAGTCTGTACAGGTCGATGAGAAACCAGATCCCATTCATTTTCTTCTACCAAGACCTAAAGACAGGAAACGACCTCGAGGAGGCAAGAAACGGGTGGGTTTTGCCGCATCGGAGTACGAATCATCTTCCAGTCACACCGCAGGTGATGTACAAATCGATATGCTCAGTACAGAGGACTATAGACACACTGAAGATCGAGATGAGCGTCGACAGAGGAGAAGAGAACGACAAGAAAGACGGAGAAAACGACGAGAGAAGGCCAGTCGAAGATCCAGCAGTGACAGTGATAAAGGAGCAACACTCTTGGATGTGGATGATGCTACGGTACAGTATATCGACGCAGTACTGGTTAAACCAGATCCGCAGGTCTTCAACAAGTATACGAGGTTTTTCTTGGACCCAAAGTTGGAGACTCTGTACCAAGATTTCACAGCGATCTACTGGTTCGGACGTGCTCGCTGGCATGTGGCACTATGGATGGCTGTGCATTTATTTGTAAACCTCGTCTTCTACGCAATGCCGAGCTCTGGTTTCACAGGTATGGAGCAGTTCATCCTCTCGTATGATTCGCTGCCGACGATTTTCCAGTGGATCTACATCCCCATTGCGCTACCGTTTGCTGCACTACCGAACAAGTACAATCCGTTCCAGACACGGTGGCGCAGCTGGGTGTGTCTTATTATCATCTTTTTTAACCTGACATTCCAGGTATGGCTGGCAGATGCCAGTCGACTAGCCACTAACGCCTACATTCTGGTCGTCGATGACTATATATCATGTGAAGTATCGAATCCAGATCTCGCGTCTACATTCGCTGGATTAAATAGCAGCTCAAGTGGCATCAGCACTGCTACGATCAATAACGCACTGGCCTATCTGGACGACGAGCAGACGAATCTGGCCATCAGTGTGACCCACATGTGCTCGGATGCGCTAGTCCAAACACTCGTAGGCTTCGCGTCGCTGTTCAGTTTCCTGTTTGTGATCTCTATCCGTCTGGAATTCGTTCAAGTCGTGGTTGTGGGAGTCACCGGCGCCGCCATCTACGCCATTGTGGTGAGTGCGTTCGGTCTTCAATTACAGTGGCTCATCACGTTCACTTACGGCATGGCGGTCGTGTTGCTGCTCATTTTATCGTACTCAACGGATCGCACTAACCGCAGGTCGTTCCTTTCCAACTTCTTGGTTGAAAAAGAGAACGAGAACCTCAAATCGTCGCTCAAACAAGCCGAGGCGGCACTACAGAATGACGCTGCCCATGCAGATGAAGAGCGTGCAGTGGCTCGTGTATTGGCTGCACCGGAGATGCGTCACCTCGAGATGGTTCACATCCCATTCGCTGATCTCACTTTCCTTCAAGCAATCGGTCGTGGTTCGATGGGCGACGTCATCAAGGCGAGATATTTCGGCACCATTGTCGTCTGTAAGCGTATGCGTCGTGAACACATCGTTGAGTCCACTGGTAGTCGGAATCGGAATGGAAACCGATACGCGTCTAATGGAGACAGCGCGTTGGCGAGCTTCCGCGATGAGATCGAGCTCATGTCGTGCTTGAGGCACCCGAACATTGTGCAGTTTATCGGTGCGAGTTGGGACAATGCATCGAACTTGTGCATCGTGATGGAATATCTAGAGAATGGAGATATGCACAGTGTGCTGCACTCGGGGCTGGGCAAGAACTTTACGTGGGCGGATCCTCTACTGAAGATGGCGGTGGATGCTGTACAAGGAATGCTCTATCTTCACTCGCAGGAGCGGCCAGTAGTGCATCGAGACCTGAAAAGTGTCAACATTCTTTGTTCGGCTACATTCGGCTGTAAAGTGGGGGACTTTGGACTCAGTCGCAGATACAAAAAGGATGTCGACGCTCTCACTACGCTGGTGGGTACTCCGTTCTGGCTCGCTCCAGAAATCATCCGAAGCGAACGATATGGTCCCGAGGCGGACGTCTATTCCTTCGGTATTGTTCTCACTGAACTTGAAACGCGACGTACTCCGTATCATGACTTGGAGGAGACGGGACTGAAAGTGCTGATGCGTGTGGCTCACAAAGGGTTACGACCTTCATTGCCTTCTAGTTGCCTCCCTGAACGACGTAAACTTATCCAAGACTGTCTTCGTGACACTCCTGTCCGCCGACCAACGTTTGCTCAAGTTTTGTCTCGCTTGCAAGGTCCTGTACTTCTCGAGATCGAAGGTCACGTTGCAGCTCAACCGGAACTTGAACGCCGCGTACTACTGCGTCGATACCAGGAACGTCGAAGTCTCTAAAGTAAACTAATGACAATTTTGAACAACACGAAATTGTTTATTGGAAACGCTGGAATTCCTGACTTTGAAGCTCAATGGGGACTTCGTATTTCATGTCGTGGGTTTCTTGATGAAGCTCACGGGCATCTGATGCGACCATTTCAGCCACGAGTTCTCGGAATCGAACAGTTGGCGTCCAGCCAAGTTCGCGGTGAGCTTTCGACGCGTTGCCGCACAGTAGATCAACCTCTGTTGGGCGGAAATACACCGGGTCAACACGCACTACCACACGATCTACGTCTGGTTCATCATCTTTAACGATGACTCCGACTTCGTCCTTGGAGCCTCGAACACCCTTCCACGTGATCGTTAAGCCTACGTGGGCGAACGCGAGCTCTACAAACTCACGCACACTATGACACTCTCCAGTGGCAACCACGAAATCCTCGGGAGTGTCGTGCTGTAGCATTCGCCACATACATTCCACGTAGTCTCGAGCGTGGCCCCAGTCGCGCTGGGCGTCGAGGTTGCCTATAAACAGGCAGCTCTCGATTCCAGCGTGAATACGCACCACGGCTCGAGTGATTTTACGCGTGACAAAAGTTGGTCCGCGTCGAGGACTCTCGTGGTTGAATAGAATCCCGTTAACGGCGTACATACCATAAGCTTCGCGATGGTTAACTACACTCCAATAGGCAAATTGCTTTGCCACCCCATAGGGTGAACGTGGATGGAATGGTGTGTTCTCATCCTGTGGTGTGGCTTGTACTTTACCATATAACTCGCTTGTAGACGCTTGGTAGAATCTCGTGGAATGCTCGAGGCCACATGTTCGCAAGCTTGTGAGCAGGCGGAGAGCGCCTAAAGCGTCGACATCCGCTGTGTATTCGGCCAGTTCGAAGGAGACTTTCACGTGGGACATTGCTCCCAGGTTGTACACTTCGTCTGGACGCACACGTGCCACGATCTGGCACAAATTGGATGAATCCGTGAGGTCTCCGTAGTGCAGGAAGAACCGGACGCTGTGATCGCGCGGGTCTCGGTATAAATGCTCCAGTCGCGCTGTGTTGAAGTTCGACGACCGACGAACAATACCGTGGACCGTGTAGCCTTTAGACAGCAACAGTTCACTCAGATACGATCCGTCTTGCCCAGTGATACCCGTGATAAGAGCCACCCGAGGACGATCCGGGGCCCCGCAACTTTCAGTGGAGCTGCTCTCACTGGTTATGCTCGCATGTTCCATTGCAGAGTCGCTATCGGAGCTTAGAGAGTCCCAGGTGTAGATGCGTTGAGAGCTATCGGTGCTGGTCTCGCGTGTCATGGTTGACTTGTGTACTCTTGACTTGTATCGTGCCTTTTGATTTGTCAACATTTTTGACACAGTATCTTTCTATCGATAGTTGAAGTAATCTTGAGCAAAACAAACTTTATCTCGCCATTTGTAAGACGATTGCTGAACACGGAGTTTTATGAAAAGTCCAAGTGATGTTCATTGTTACTCTAGACGAAAAGTCCAAGTGATGTTCACTGTTACTCTAGACGTCGGACGCGGCAATAAAGTTCTCATAGCAGCATTAGAACTGACCTCCGCAGCGGAGTCCGCTGGTGTTCAGCGTTTACGAGAGGTTGGTTCATCATGCTTCACGTTACCCAACATTTGAGCTGAGCCGTGTGATCGTCATTATTGAAGCTGATTCTAAACGCGCGGTGATTGGCTGCGTCCTCCGCACTGTCCACTCCATCGATTGGTCGAAACAATTCTTGAAACCATTGGCCTTCGGTTGCTGGTGCCGGACGTGCCAGAGCGGCATGAACCGACACTTCCTTCACTTGGGTATTTGCCCCGAACTAATACTCCACACCCCAAAGCCATGGCCTCCACTGCCACCATCGACCCTGAGCTTCTGGACGGCCGCTCGGCCATTGACATCTTCGTCAACAAGAACCAGGGCCAAGGCTACACGTACGATGACCTGATCCTGATGCCGGGCCACATCAACTTCGGCGTGGACGCTGTGCACCTTGACACTAAGGTGTCGCGCAACATCTCGCTGCATCTGCCACTCGTGTCGTCGCCCATGGACACTGTGACGGAGCACGCCATGGCCATCGGCATGGCGCTGCACGGCGGTATCGGCATCATCCACTACAACATGACCGTGGAGGAGCAGGTCAAGGAGGTGCGTCTGGTCAAGAAGTTCAAGAACGGCTTCATCACGGACCCCAAGTGCCTCTCGCCCGAGGACACGCTGGCCGATGTGGACCGCATCAAGGCCGAGTTTGGTTTCGCCGGCATCCCTATCACCGAGTCCGGCAAGGTGGGCAGCGTGCTCGTAGGTATTGTGAGCAACCGCGACATCGACTTCATCGAGGACCGTCAGACCAAGCTCAAGGAGGTTATGTCGACCAACCTGGTGACTGCCCCCGAGGGTGTGTCGCTCACGGAGGCCAACCGCATCCTGCGTGAGAGTAAGAAGGGCAAGCTTCCCATTGTCAACGCCAAGGGCGAGTTTGTGTCGCTCATCTCGCGTCGCGACCTGGTCAAGAACCGTGACTTCCCGCACGCCTCCAAGGACGCCAACAAGCAGCTGCTGGTCGGTGCTGCTATCGGCACGCGCCCTAACGACCGTGATCGTTGCACGGAGCTGGTCAAGGCCGGCGTGAACCTCATCGTCATTGACTCGTCGCAGGGCGACTCGACGTTCCAGGTTGACCTCATCAAGTGGATCAAGGCCACGTACCCTCAGATCGATGTGATTGGCGGAAATGTCGTCACTCGTATGCAGTGCAAGCGTCTCATTGATGCCGGTGCCGACGGCCTGAAGGTCGGGATGGGTGTCGGCTCCATCTGTACTACGCAGGAGGTGTGCGCTGTCGGCCGTGCCCAGGCCAGCGCTGTGTTCAACACCGCTCGCTACGCCCGTCAGTTCGGCGTGCCGGTTATTGCCGATGGTGGCATTGCCAGCTCGGGCCACATCGTCAAGGCCCTGACCGTGGGTGCTTCGGCCGTCATGTGCGGTTCGCTGTTTGCCGGCACTGAGGAGTCGCCCGGCCAGTACTTCTTCCAGGACGGCGTGCGTCTTAAGAAGTACCGTGGTATGGGATCTATTGAGGCCATGACTGCCGGCTCGTCCAAGCGTTACTTTGCTACCCACGCTACCGTCAAGGTCGCTCAGGGTGTGAGCGGCGCTGTGGTGGACAAGGGATCGCTCATGCGTTACGTGCCGTACCTGCAGCAGGGTATCAAGCACGGTCTGCAGGACTTGGGCCAGGTGAGCCTCGAGGCCGTGCACACTGCCCTCCACACGGGCGAGCTTCGCTTCGAGCTGCGTACCCCTGCCGCTCAGCGTGAGGGTAACGTCCACTCGCTGCACACGTACGAGAAGCGTCTGTACTAAGCAGTCCCCCCAATTTGCTTTAGCATGACATTTGATGCGAGCAAGGTTTCTATATCTACAGTATATAGTGCAGTCACTGAGCATGACCATGACTCACATCGAGCTGCCAGTTCGAGCGAGTCGAGCCGAAAACTGCATGGTAATGAAGGCCAATACATAGACATCCTCCTTTGGTGATTCTAAACTTTTGCGTTAATTGTTTTGGTTTCTGTTTATCGGGTTGCATAATGCAGTTTTTGCTATCCCTTTGCCGATGGGCAACGGCAACTTCAGCATGTTGGCATGTCAAACGTGAGCAATAACATGTTGGCATGTCAAACGTGAGCAATAACCTTACAGTGGCAAAAATGCAACACTGGGCAATTATCACCATATTCATCATCTTCACGTTACTAAAATATTAAACTGAGGTTGCTATCGACCCATTCAAAGCTTGCTACATGATCAGAAGACGTCTCGCTGGGCGTCGTGGAGGCCTATCAATCGGCCAAGTTTGCTGCCGATGTCCTCTTCCTTCGGTGGACTGGACGGGAGGATTCCCGGTTCGTTACCAGGGAAGCAGCTCCACAGTTCCGGTAGAAGATGACCGTACTCACTGCTGTCACAGAAGCTAAGTGAGCTATTCCGTTCACCCAGAATCTTCGCAGCTTCGACCATTGGCGACGACGTGAGAACCAGACGACGCAATGCCACACGCAGCGATCCGTGCTTGAGTCCATCGGCACGACACACTAGAGGATACCAATCTCCAAACGCTTCGTTGACAGGCATTGCGAGACTGAGATGCACTTCACCGAGGTCTCGCTCGTCACCACCGTGCACGAAGATGTCAACCGTGCGTTGATCAATGGTGGGAGACGAGGGCATCCAGAAGACGAACCGCTCGTTAACTGCCCAGTTGCTGCGGTCGGCTGGATTCGTCTTACGACTCAAACGACCGAGCTGCATTGTGACGGTGAACGGCAGATTAACTCCGCTTTCATCACGGTCGATAGCGAGACCACGAGCTTCCAGGATGTCAACGACAACTAGTTCACCGTAGGGGCTTCCGCATGTAATGGAACTGGTTCGACACCGAGTGCTCATGTTGTGTACATTGTTGATGGCGTTCTCAGCCGCCTCGCGAGGTGGTAGAGAAGATGTTAAACTGACTGACGCGAACGAGAAGGAAGAATTTGACGTAGAGATCGAGGTGCTATCCGATCGCGAAGTTCTCCACGGAGTTGGAATCGGTGGTGCAAACGAGAATAGTGTTGATCCTGACGTCGAAGGTACAGGGGGTTTATTTGTCATGCTTGGGAATACACAGACATCCGAAAAAGTCCTGAACATGGAGCTCACTGGATTCGACGAGGACTTTTCGGATAGCGTCTCGAGTGATGACGACGGAGATGAATCGGATGCAAAAGTGGTCGAAGAGGATGCTGGAGATACCGGAGTGGCGTCGTCAAGCGCTGGCTTCATAACCTCCAGCTCATTTTCCATTGTGTATCGGTGGAAGTCTGCATCGAGTGCTGGCGTGTGGGGCGTCTGAGATTCAATCTTGTCGACAACAGACTCGCGATATTCTCCCACGGGTATAGTCGTTTCTTGGTCTGGTGATTCGTGGCTGCAGGCGCTGTCGTTGCTTTTTGAGCTACCGATACGCGTCTGCCACATGGTCTTGACACGCTTGAAGTCGGTGCCCAACATTGCTACACAGAAATTCACCTAAGCGGGCCCTCCTCGTGTTGTGTTTCTTTGGATAATGTCGGCATGTGCAAACCAGGCCACTGTCAACCCAGTGTATTCTTCGCTCACGAATGCAGAGGTACGAGATGACATGCACTGCTGGCAGAGGGCGAGGCTGGTCATACTTGGCGTCCATGCCACCTGGTTCTACCGGCTTCACTGTCTGAGCACTCGTTATAGCTTTTTTATTCAGACCATGTATTCGACATGAGATCTAGCGACAGCAGGCCGAAATGGAATGGCTTGAAAAGCTAGACCACGCAACACATGCGCTAATACTACGATTCTCTACCTCGGATCGGCTGGATGTATCTCGCTTTCACGATTTCCAAATGATCTCTAACAACACTGGCATAGGTCTCTGAAACCTCACAGGTAATCTGAATTTTACTAAAGCTAGAACGACACAAACGTCAAGGACTCGCCTACTGTCGGCGAGGTGACAGCAGCTCTTTTAATAACAAAATGGTTCTCCAGCTCAAGACGTGCCATACTTTCGCACATATTCGTCCATCGGGAGGAAACAGAACTCGGCCTCTCCGTCGACGCCGCGCCAAACTTTGACAATTTCTGCCAACTCCATCTCATACACGGGCAGTCCGTTTACAGCGACAAGCACGTCGCCGACATTGATCGCGCCGCTCTGTTGAGCCTGTTCACCCGGAACCAATCGATGTACCACCACGACGTCTGCTTCAGAGTGTTTAGAGAACTCAATGCCGAGCTTGCGCTTCGAAGACAGCACTACAGTGCACGCTGTCAACAGCGATCGGATGTATTCCAGTGCGATCTCCAGACACGTGACGAAGTATGCGATCTCTCCCTGGCTACCGGAGTCGAAGAATGTGATCATCTCCTTCAGAGCTACCGGATCGCGCAGATGCGAGTGGATTAGCACGTAAATGAAGGCCGGGATGAAGGCGTCAGCGCTCATAGGTGGCTGAGTAGGGTGCTCGTTATGGAAGACGGCGTAGATCTCCTTGCATGCAGCCAGTAACTGAGCACGTTTCATGTACGGGAGACTCACCTTGTCAACCTCCCGTAGCTTCGCACAAGCTGAGAGCCATTTACTAGAAGACTCGCTGTCGGGTCCAATACCGAAGAACGCTTGCGACTTACTGCGTAGAATTTCAATCTTCCCCTTCAGTACCTTCGCATCCTCTCGAGTCTGAGCACGCACGTTCGTCAAGATCGCGCGATAGAGAGGGAAGAACACACGCTCCTCAATCTGTTCATGGACGATCGTCTGAATGTTGTTAGTGATCTCACTGACCACCATCGCATCTTGTGGACGAGCCGGATTAACGCCTTTAACTCCATCGTCGTCGGAGTCACTGTCCGAGCTGCTATCAGGCTGTGCGACGCCTGCAAGTAACTGGAGCTCCTTCAAACGCGTGTGGATCAAATAATCTGATAATCCAGTCATGAACTCCCGCACTGTAGCGTTGGAAACCGGCCGACCTGTATGTTCCTTCAGGAATGCAGCGGATGTGCAGCCCTCAGGGGAGTACGGAGATGCCAATAGTAGCTGAACTTCACGCGCTACGTCCATCGTTGCGTCTTCGGTGTTAGAAATGAACGACGACATACAACGTCTACAAACACCGTCAACTGCTGCGCCTCCTTCATCCAGAGCTCCACACTTACACATCCGACCAATCTCCGAGGCGCTTGTAGGCATCGCAAACTCGTTTGTATCGGTTTTTGCCGGTGTTCCAGCTTGTGTAGTGCTAGAGCTGCCTTCACCTACTGAGGCGAGAGCAGCCAACCATAACGAACGCTCTTCTTGGCTGTCAGCATGCAGGAACAAGTTGCGACTGGGAGTACAGATCTGGAAGCTGTGGCGTTCACCCGTCTTGAGGGTGTCTACAGGGGATACCCGCGCGTGGGAGACGTCGATAGAACCTTTTCGAGAGCCTCCCTGCGGGTGTGCGAAGTACGAAAGCGTCGTGTTCGAGAGCTCGAACCAACGACGCTTTGTTGATTTAACCATCCGACCACGCTTGCGTAGCCAACCGGAGAAGAGGACGGGGCCTTTGTCTGCGTTGTCGCTGTTCTGTTTCATAAGTTTAGCAGTCTTGGCGCCCTCGGGTAGTAATTGGACGTTGTGTTCCTGTAATTTCCGGATCCACAAGTCGCGATCGTGGTTGTCTAGCGCGTAGAGCACCATACCGTAGCTGCCCTGCGAGAACTTGAAGCCGCTGTGCAGCATACACTGAACAGTGCTCTTACGTGTGAGATCCAGGCGACCACGCACCTCTGTGGCGTCGTGTGTGTCGTGATAGATTAGCTCGTTGTCCACGATACAGAACAATCGGCGCTTGAAATTACGCAGACCGTGGCCACGTTTGATAAGCCAGCCGGAGTGACGCACTACGGGCTTGTACTCGAGCACCCAGCGTCGACTCTGTGCGCTGGTGGGCGTCGGTCGTGCACTGCTGCCTGTTGACTTTACCATCGTGCTCGTGGCGCGCTCTGTCCACATCTCGATATCCCTGCAAAGACATTACCCATTTCTCACTTAGGCGAAGACCTCTGACACCGTAGTGGATTAGTAAATACTGAACGTACCGTTGACTGGGGCGTGTTACGAGCACAACGCGCCGAGATTCACGGATATTGTCCTTCGGCTGTGCCGTCAGTGAAGAGTTATCGGCCGGTACTGTCGGTATGGGTCCCGTAAAGTCCGCGATTTCAGGCTCTTCGGGCAGTTCATTGGACTCTGAAGTGTCAATAGACTCGTCAAGCTGATCTACAGATTCGATAGCTCCAACCTCGTTAACTTCCACCACAGGGGACGGAGAATCCGCCGCATCCAGGCTGCAACGCATCGTCCGCGTGCTACCATCGTCACCAGAGGACGACGAGGCGATTAAACAGGGTCTGCGCTTCTCACTGGGCTCTCGGCCGTCAATATCCTCCTCGTCTTCGCTATCCTCGTCGATTTTGATCTCCTGACCGGCCACGAATTCCTCGTCGCTGTCCTCGTCGATGTTAATCTCTACGCGGTATTTAGGCCGCGTGTCCTGCCTAATAACCGTGCGCTCGACGCGACCATCCGACCGATTCTGTGTCTGCTTCGGTTTGTCTTCCGGCTTCAATTTAGTCTGCTGCTCGCTGTCCTTGGGACTAGGAAGTGGCGCTGTGACTGGCTCCTGCTCCGGAAGGCTCAACAGACTGCGCGCGCTGCCGTTGCCGCTCTCATCGTCGCCGCCCTCATTCACCGTCTCGCGCAGCCGCAGTCGGAACACCTCGATACTCTGGCGACGTCTGGTGCGCATCGTCATCGTGAACCGAAGAGAAGAACGCCCGCTGCTATTACTTGGGGAATATCCTCAGCGCGTTACGAACACCGGCTGCTGTTGCCGTCGGACCGCGGTGCTCCGAATACAGAGCCCAGGGACAGTAGCCAATCACAGCCAGGTGGATTGGGGGAACGCTTTCAAAATATATAATAGTAGTGGTATCCATTCAGATTAATATGATATATTTCAAAGTATGATACATAAATAGTAGACAACAGTATGAAACACACATAATAACTAAAGTATGAAACACAAATAAAAACAAATGTATCAAAATTTAAGTAGTATTTACAATTTTCAGAAGTGAATCAGTTCAAAGTAGTATTCGTAGAATACTGCTTCGTAAATTTAGAACTAAAAGTTAGTATTTATGAAGTGAAAGTCACCAGGAAAGCAAAAAGTGAAATCCTAAGAAGACATAAATACAAGTCGCTGCGTGAGATTCCCTTACACCTCCAGCAGTTGCTTGCGTCCTGCAGCAGTCTCTTTGTCGATAGTAATCATGTTTTGTACGATAGCGACGGTCTCCGTTCTCTACGTAACTTTTCTAAAACGGATCTAGAAGACAACCCAAAGCACTTTGGATAGACATAACGTACTTTCCACGAGTCTACGATCGATGGATACTGCAACCAAGGGCGTTCTTACGTTAACAAAATAACAGACCTGGGCTGTAATCAGTCTGAAAGTGCTCGGCCTTGAGGAAGGCATGATCTTCCCTTGAAGAGACTGAAATCACTCCATGCATCTAACCCACGACAACCGAAAAACAGCGATGTGGTCAAAAATGCAACTGATAAAGCCATCAGAAGGCACGATACAAGCGATGCAAAGCCGTGTTGCGCTTGTAGGCGACGGCAGCGAATACATCGGGGACCTGGTGACTGAGGACGAGCTGATTGTCTGCGGCGTCTACAAGGGAACCGATGTCTTTTGGTCACTCACTGCGTCGCAGCGGTGCTTCTCGGCTCTACTTCTCGATGAATGTCAAAGAGAGGGCAGTAAAGTTGTGCAGTCGATTTACTGTACGATAATCGCTGCACTTGAAGGTCTGGTAGCGGGTGTCGTCCTCAAACGTGCTTTGAATTTACCTTGTCCCCGATTCACAGCTTCTATCGTCGTTGTTGATCTCGAGACATTGTCATCGCAGTCAGGTACAAGTACACTTCAACATTCCCACTTCAACACCGTCAACCAATCGCAACTCTGCTTCGCTAGACTGCTTCAGTTAGCAGTGGCTACTAAGGAGCGATGCTGCGCAAGGACGACAAGCTCGAATCAACTACAATAGGAAGGAGTATTGAAGCATCTTAACAAATCTTTATGAAGGAGCTCGTTGTGGTGCGCCTTGCTTAGATAAAGAGTGTGACATGGTGGTGGCGGTCAGTGCAAATTCACCCCGCCGGCGAATCTCTTCAGCCGAACGGTCATACCTGGCGTTGGTAAACCGACTGCTCTTATATCCATAGATGCGTTGCACATTAATAGAATTTGTGCACTGGGTATCGTTTAAGCGGTCTATGCATTTATTATAGCACTGGGCGCCTGCCAAATATCACTTAGACGACCGACTTATTTGCAGCAGATAAGTCGGCGTTTAAAAAGATATATGGCGACTTATCTCTCAAGAGCTCAACCACAAACTTCTTAGAACTGCTTTATGTGTCCGATTTGTACTGTCCTACATCAGAAGTTTCAATAACCAAATATACTATTTAAAACTGAACCCGACACATTGTGGCGGACACCAAGTGGGTTTGCACCCTTCGATTTTTTTTCACTTTCGAATTGGCGCGAATCGTGCTCAAGAGACCCCCACGATGGCAAACGAGGCCACAGACGACGCAGACTTGCTGCTGGTGCTGAGTGCGGAGGTCCTGAAGCAGGATGAGGAGTTGGCCGACATACGGCGAGCTGTTTTCGAGGTACTGTTGTCGAAAGCGTGGAGAATTGCTATGAGAAGTAGACACTACTTGACGACCAAGTGCTTGGACCCACCGAGTGAATCAGCGTGGATGATCCTCTACAAGTACGGAAACGACGTGAATTTTCTAAATGCTACCAGCTTGACCAGGTAATCTTGTAGGTAGAGCTGCTGACCATGAACCCGCTGACTAATATCAACATGCACCCAGACCTACGTTCAACCAGCTCCTGCGGAGGTTCAGTAGGTTCTACTTTATTCCACGGCACAATGCACGCGGCCGCCCACCCAAGCTACGGCACCATCACCAGGTGCTCGGGCTTCTACTTTCCTTCTACGTGGGTTCTATGGAACAGACGACGTTGTGCTTGGTGTTTGGTGTTCCTCCGAGCACACTATCGCGGACCCTACGTCGTGGAGAGAGAGCCTTGGCCTCCACACTCAAGGGATACGCGCCAGCAAGGATCTCGTGGCCGTCTCCATCCCGTCAAGTCGAGCTGGCTATGTTGGTGGAAGCTCGGGAGCCCCTCCTGCAGCACACTTTCGGCTTTATCGACGGAAAGAACTTGAGAGTACGTAGAACACGAGAATTGAATCGATCCTACATTTGGCCATTTAACTTAACGTACTCGATTGTGTTTTAGGTCCAGCAGCCGTCCAACAGCGACCTCCAGAACGCCATGTACAATGGCTGGCTGCACACCGTGTTCGTGACCGGGACAATTTGCTTCGCAGCGGATGGCTGCATTATCTGGGCGAAGCACAATTGTCCCGGGTCTTGGAACGACTCCGACACGTCACTTGGCTTCCGAAACAAGCTCCTTGATCCGGTGTGCTGCCCTGACCCACGCAAGAATGTGGTGTCGGACTCGGCGTTTCCCTGTTCGACCTCCATGGCCGGACGCATTCTCACCCCGCTAAAAGATGGCGATCTCGACCGGATACTGCCATCGCTGCGAAGCTCCGCCCGAACACTCCACAATGCGATCACTTCAGTGCGCCAAGCCGCTGAGTGGGGGATGGGGAGCATTCAAAAGGTGTATCACCGATTGAATCTCCCCTTGCCGTACGACCCAGAGCTTCGCGGGGTCCGCATCGACAACTTGTTCCGCATGTGTAACTACAGAGTTCGCACTGTCGGGATCTCCCAGATCCGCACCACCTTTCTAGGAGAAACGGAAGCTTTCGATTTTTAACGCGTTAGTTATGAACGTTTGTGCATTTTCGAGGCTTAAGAGGGCTAATACAAACTACACTACTGAAATCTGAAGGTGAGCCTCGTTTCGATGTCCGGACTGTCTTCATCAAAGTCCTAAGACTTCTTCGTTAGGGCTCCGATCAGCATCAGCAGCTCTTGGGTGCGAGCGCGTGCTTCCTCTCGGTCACGGCTCGCGCGTTCTTCCATCTCCTGTTTCTCAGTGCGGCGGCGTTCCTCGGCTTCGGCTCTCTCGGCCAGACGGCGGTTTTCCATGGCCGCCAGATCATTTCGGCGTCGCTGCTCTTCCTCTTCGCGGCGAGCTTCAGCTTTGCGCTCGTTTTCTTCGCGAAGTAGAAGTATTGTCTCCAGGATACTGCCACGGGTGTTGTTCGCAGCGTTTTCCAGACCGTCGAGCTGCGACTTGAGCGCCGTCGTCGCCTTCATGGCGCGAACACGTTTGGCCTTAGCGAAGCTGGCCTCTTGGGTATCCTTGTCTTCTTCGAGTGCGCGTTTCGCACCTGTGGAGTCGCGAAAAGCGGATAAGTCCCCCCCTCCTAGGCGATTCGAGCGACTGCTGAGCTCCGGATACTTTGCGGATTCGACTGCGTCCCTGCTTCTGTCGTCGTGGCGGCGGTCCAAGCGTCGCTGCGCGTTCGCTGAAGTGTCTATTTCGCTGGCCGTCGCGCGGGAACCCGATCCAGTGCGCCGTGTAGTTGATGCTGCACGTGGTGGAGCAGGGCGAGGTGTTACACCACCGGCATCGAGTCCTTCTGACACCAGTGGCGAAGACAACAAGTCCTGAAACGCACCACGGATCGGTTCTGCGGCCCCTCCGTCGACCGACATGTCCGTACCGGTCGCCTCACTGTGGACTGAGCCAGCACCGCTTCTCTCAGCAGCGGCATGAACGAACTCCGCGTCATCAGGCTCGTAGAAGGTGTGGTCAGGCTCCGGTTCGAAGCTGAAGTCCGGCGCAATGGGTTGGTCCTCGTCCGCATCGTCGTCGAGCTCCACGACGTTGGCCTTGTCGTCAATGGCCTGCTTGGCCTCCTTGGCCCTCTGGATGTGCGGAGGCATCGTAGCCACTCCGGTGGGCTTACGGGTGCTGTAGAGCTGCTTGAACTTGCGACGTAAGCTCTCAAATTCGCGTTCGGGTGCTCCACGGGGTTTGCTTGCGTTGAATGACGCAGCGAGGCGCTCCCACTCGTCCTTACCCAAGGGGAGCACCTTCTCAACGAGGCAGAGCATTCGGTCGATGTCGGCCATGGAGTAGTTAGTTGTGCCGGCGTTCCTGACCATTGCTAGCATCACATAAGTACGAACGTCAGTCTCAGCCCTGTCGTACGCGGAATGAGGTCGAGTGGTGGCGTACCGGTTGCTGGAGCGAAGTGGAGGGCTGGTTGAAGTGGCGAGCTGCTCGACGCAAGGTAAAACGAAAAGTGAGCGTCACCAGTGACGGCCTCAAGCGGGCTTTGCCAAGGCAAGTCGCTGCGCGCGCCACCAATTCGCGGTGGATCTAGAAAAGACGCTAATCAACTTCAACGTGTTGCGCGGGAAATCTGCGCGCGCAAAGCCTCATTCGAACTGTTAGCGATGAAGCTCGCAGTCAACGCGTGCGATCGCACCAAAAGCGAGTGCGAATTCGCGAGCGAAGCATTATCACGCTGGGTTCACGTCGAATCCACTCGCTTGATACACGGCAACTTCAATGAAGATACGTAAGGTTCAACATCGAACGATCGCATTCAAATACACAGGTCTCTCACAACCTCACGTACAAACCCTTCTCCTTGGCATCATCTTACGGATCGTCCTCGTTTTGAATGTCCCTGTGGCGGCAACTAGCCAAGCCACATCGACATATGAACCATAAGTCGTCTCCGTAGTCCACAGTGACTTCCTGCCCGCGGCGAACAACGTGAGTAGTCACCACCACCACGGTGGTTCGACGTCCATTAGAAACTTCCACAAACTTGGCCACCGGACTGCAGGAATGATTCACAAATCGCATGAGACTCCCCATTTTCCCAGCGTTGATCGCTGCCCGAATTGGACGGCTAGGGCGCTCTGGTCGTTGAGTCAGAACAAGGCGGAAGCCCTGGTTTCGCGGCCGCCCCGAGCGCAAGGCGCTGAGGTGCTCGATCTCACCCAGGTACTGACTCAGAACTTCACCGGGTCCGATGTCTTCCGCTGCAACCACTCCAAGTATCTGTGTTCTTGCGTTCTTCCCCAAGAAGACCTTGTCAGATTCCACAAGACCATTTCCACACAGTCCTTCGTACGGGCAGGAGTTCACGTTACAGTAGATGTGCATCAGTGAATTCCTGCACGAGTCCGCTCGACAGGGGCTTGAGCAGTCGCACCACCCGTGATGCTGCACCGCTGGGAATATGGTGGCCAGTGGGTTGTACATTTCGCGCAGGTGGGCCACATCCCATGGCCATTGCGCGGGGACGAAGACATCGTCGGGCTGAGCAGCTCGTAGAAAGGAATGAAGCTTCTCCAACTCAGGCGATGCATGCGACTTGGAGCGCCGGCGATCGCCACTATTTGCCGAACGCGTACGAGTGTACGGGGCAGCAGCATCTCGACGAACACACCGCCCGGTACGGCGAGAATCCAGTTTCCTGGTCGGCTTTGGACGGTGCAAAGATGACTGCGGCGTCTCCAGGAGAACTGGTGACGACATGGTTGGGCTTCTGTACTGGCGTGGTGTAGGCGGAGTTGGATGAGGTGGCTCATCCGTTGATGACGCGTTTCGCATGCTTTCGGACTGGGGTTTCTTCAGGTCCGGCGCCCACGACGGTGCCACAGACGTGGAGTCACTGGATGAAGAGATTTCGCTCTCGTAGATACAGGACATGACGTTTGGCGGCGTGTTCTCGTCACTGGAGGTGTCTTCGACGTACAGACGCCTGCGGCGAACCGCTGAATAAACTGGATTCGTCATCCTTCAAAGCAACATAAGCGTTCATTAGTATTGGCAAGCAAACAATACGGTTTATAGGATGCAACGAACCTCCCCAGCACGATGCCGCTGTCGGCTTCACCCCTTCAGCCGCGAAATCGAAAGTGATTTCGTTTCAAGCGTGGCGGAAGATATATGCTTCAAGTTAAGTCAACTGAGTGCATGTTACATACACAGGAGTGATTGTAATCATAAATTATACAAATTTCAAGATAAAACGTTATGATGGCTACACAACATAACTTGAGGGGTAGGGGATTCTATAGACACGATATTTACGCCTCCGGGTCGGGTATGCGCGTCTAAGCCTCGACTTATCTGCTGCAAGTAAGTCGGTCGTCTAAGTGATATTTGGCAGGCGCCCACTGGTATGCAAGTAATAGCCTTGGTACTTCTTGTCGTGATAGCGACTGGAGGACCAACAATAGGACAACTGGGGGGTTGTGAGGCGACACAATATTCAAAACAGGAGATGAAGTCGCTCCCGATTTCTGCACCCACTCAAGCCTGCCACAAGAACGAGCTGTTGGTGTTTGTGCAAGCAGGATGACTTCAACTTGCTTTCGTAGACGCCGCCACGTACTCCGATACCACTGCGGGCAGCGTTTAACAGCCGTGACCGTGCCGTGTCGACACCTACTGCTCCGCTTGGACCTGAAAACACCAGGCTCGCAAACGGTTTTGCAAGTTTCACGTGAATACATGAACCTTATCCGGGCGCGATTTGAATTCGTCCAAAACTGGATCAACTAAAAGGGCTTTACCATTGCTGAGCAGTCAGCCCCCTCAAATGCAGGGAACGCCTTCACATGGATTTTGCGAAACGGGATCGATTCGCACTCGTACTTTAGGCCTTCGCGCTGATCGAAGGCGAATACCGGAGTCACAGAATGCGGACGAACAAACCGTAGTCATTGCGCCTCACTAAAAAAAAACGCAGCTTCAACATCATCTGTCTGCAACTTCCACGTCGGGCTCGATGCGCAATATGGACTCGCCCCTGGTAAAACCGACGTGAGTATGTTTTCTACCCAAAAGGCGTGGTGACAGTCGCGCGTGAGCACTGCGACTATCTTTTCGTCCAATCCACACCTGCTAAATCCAAGATTTCAGCCAATTGTGTCCCAGCTCTCCTCGTGGCTGAGTCACTCTAAAGATTGCTTGCTGGAGAGGTTATTCCCAAATTTGCCGCGCGCCACCAAAGCGTCCGCAGCCAAGTTCAGCAGCCATGAGCTCCCCACACGTCCGCATCAGCCAGATTGCCAGCCATCTGAGCTCGCACGATCCACACGCTGAGGAGAGTGACTACGCACAGCGCGTTAAGCAGACGGAGGCCTTTATCCGCAGCGACCGCTTCAAGTACGTGAAACGCCCCTACGGCGCCGAGGATGTGGTGAAGCTCCAGGGCACGATCCCCGCTGCCAATGCCGGCGCTGCCATGTCGAGCAAGCTCTACAAGATGCTGCGCGAGCTGCAGGCTGCCAAGAAGACGAGCCACACGTTCGGAGCGCTGGACACGATTCAGGTTACGCAGATGGCCAAGCACTTGTCGACTGTGTACGTCAGCGGCTGGCAGTCGTCGTCCACGGCCTCCACGTCCAATGAGCCTGGCCCGGATGTGGCCGACTACCCGATGGACACTGTTCCCAACAAGGTGGACCAGCTCTTCCGCGCCCAGCTCTTCCACGACCGCAAGCAGTACGAAGCCCGTCGCCGCATGACGGCCGAGGAGCGCGCACGCACCCCACCAACGGACTTCATGCGTCCGATCGTCGCTGACGCCGACACTGGCCACGGCGGTCTGACGGCCGTGATGAAGTTGGCCAAGATGTTCATTGAGCGCGGCGCCGCCGGTATCCACCTGGAGGACCAGAAGCCTGGCACCAAGAAGTGCGGCCACATGGGCGGCAAGGTGCTGGTCTCGGTGCAGGAGCACATCCAGCGTCTCATTGCTGCTCGTCTGCAAGCTGATATCATGGGCAGTCCACTGGTTATTGTGGCCCGTACGGACGCTGAGGCTGCCACTCTGCTTGACAACAACATCGACCCGCGTGACCACCCCTTCATCATTGGAGCCACCAACCTCAACGTGGAGCCGTACATTGACGCCACCCGTGCTGGCCGTGAAGGTGACTGGGACAAGCGTGCCCACGCTATGACATATCCGGAAGCTGTCCGTGAAGCTCTGAAGAAGGCCGGCCGCTCGGACGCATTGGCTAAGTGGAACGCTCAGTGCTTGGAGCTGAGTCTGCCCAAGCTGCAGGCTCTGGCCAAGTCACTCGGCGTCACCATCGCCTTTGACTGGGACCTGGCTCGTACGGTTGAGGGCTACTACCGCGTGCGCGGCGGTGTGGAGTACTGCATCGCCCGTGGCCGCGCGTACGGCGAGTACGCCGACCTGATCTGGATGGAGACGGCCAAGCCTGGAGTGCCACTTGCACGCACGTTCGCTGAAGGCGTCAAGGCCAAGATCCCCCACCAGATGCTGGCGTACAACCTGTCGCCTTCATTCAACTGGGACGCTGCCGGCATGTCCGACACGGAGATTGAGACGTTCGTGACGGACCTTGCTCGCTTGGGCTTCTGCTGGATGTTCATTACGCTGGCTGGTTTCCACAGTGACGCGCTGGGCATCACCCGCTTCGCACGCGACTACTCCAAGCGTGGCATGCTCGCGTACGTTGAAGGTGTGCAGCGTGCCGAACGCAACGAAGGCGTGGAGACGCTCAAGCACCAGGGCTGGTCGGGCACTGAGCTCGTGGACGCCATGCAGAACACCATCACGGGCGGACTGTCGTCGACGAACACGATGGGCCACGGTGTCACGGAGGCACAATTCTAAGCAAGCTGCCAAGGATAAAATGCTTGTAGCCACCTACGGATGCATCGCGGGTGCAGAGTGAGCGGTGATGCGACGGAAGTTGGTACTCTTTATCTTTTTCATGCGTGTGAATATTTTACCAAAAGAAATTAAATGAAAAAAAAAAACAAGATAAAAAGCACAGTGTCCGGTGTTGCATGACGACGACGATCTTGCTGACGTTGGTCATCTACAACAGCTTCAGGAGTGACTAGAAACGCGCAGCTATAAGTAACTTTGAGCACTACGATGTTTGATCTGTGGCAGTGCGCGATGAACGTCATGAAGGTTATCATAGCGTTGCCGCTCGCAAAGCTGGAAAACACAACAATATCTGAGAGACAAAGGCGCCGCCACTCATCGTGTTTCATCTATTAGTCCACTCAGCTTCCCTGTCGCCGCCCTCGTCTCCTGTACCTGCCTGTTTCTCGATAGTGTATGCAAGGGAGCGAGATTTCTGCCCGCTTACAGCACTCCGCAGCTGACGATCTCAATGTCCGTCAGCGGCTTGTTCTTCACGCAGTAGACACTCTCAATATTCTTTAACACATTCTTGCCCTCCACGACCTTGCCGAACGCGACATTGCGGCCGTTGAGGTGCGGCAGCGGCTTGAGCGAGATAAAGAACTGCGACGCGTTCTTGTTGAGGCCAGCGTTGGCCATGCCAAGTACGCCCTCCTCCGAGAACTGCAGCGCGTAGTTCTCGTCGTCGAAGTAACGCTGGTTCTCCTCTAGCGCAGCGTGACCACCCGTTCCGTCGCCGTTGAGCACGTCACCACCCACGAGATACACGCCCTTAGTGACGTTGTGGAACTTGGAGTTCTTGTACGATCCCGAGCCCAACGCCTTGGACTTGAAGCCGTCCGTGCACATCTTGATGAAATTAGTGGCTGTTTGCGGCACGATGTCCTTGGCCAGCTCCACTACAATGCGTTCGGCCTTAGCACCACCAATGCTAACGTCCAGGAAGGCACGCGGTCGCGGTTGAGCGGGTGTGGGCACCACGACGTCGTAGGCCACAGGGGCCGCCTCGGGAGCGTTCATCTTGGCCAGAGAGCGGTGGTACCATCCCCAGCCACGTGCACCCGCGCGCGACATGGCATCGCCAGCGCCGCGTACCAGCTTCGATCGGCCAAACGCAGACATGGTAGCAGTCGTCCACCTTGAGCTAATTGCTTGTCCCCGGCGATTTCCAGCCAGACGCACAATCGTACTTAGTTGGGAAGCTACACTCATATTATTGCCCTGAGTTTAGTGTCACTCTGATTTAGCGACATGCTGTGGCTTGAAGAAGAAGACAATCAGATACAGGGAGGAGCGATCCAGCGGAGAGAAATGGTGAGAAGCAACAGGCTGCTGCTCATAGTGGCGGTCGTCACGGCCGCGCTGGTTCTTGTGCAGTTTGCGCTGATTAGTGAAGAGTCGACGACGTATTTCGAGGAGGAAGAAATACTGCAGTTGGAGGCGGTGAAGAAGACACCTGTATTCCAACAGATGACGACGTTGCCAGTGGTGCTGATGCACGGCATGGGTGACGCTGCTGGAAATGGAGGGATGATGCGCATTCAAAAGGTTGTGAATGGATGGATGCCTTGTTGTATGGAGGAGGAATGAGGGATTTTAACGATCTGGTTCAATTATGCTAGACAATCGCAGAGCATCTTGGAGTTTACGTGGCAAATGTGCAGCTCGGCGACTCAGTAGCCGAAGATGTACAGAACAGCTTCTTCGTCACGATGAACAACCAAACGGACATGTTCGCTAAGATTGTGCGAGAGGTGCGAGGTGTTGGTTTTTAACGGAATCGCTGTATTTTTCTTATGTCGCTAAGCAGGTTTTGTTTGTGACGGAACAATAGGATCCACACTTGGCGAATGGATTCAATGCAGCAGGATTCTCCCAGGTGAGATAGGACCATGAAGTGTCGTTGGAAGATAGTTTGTTTGTTTCCTATGCTAATAGAGGTATCTTTGTTCCTCTTCCCTCAGGGTAACTTGTTGATCCGCGCATACATCGAGCGGTTCAACGACCCTCCTGTCCACAACTTTATATCATTCCATGGACCGCTTGCTGGTGTGGGCGGACTTCCACGGTGCTCCCCTCTCAACTTTATTTGCAAGGAAATCGATAAGGTTGGTGATGTGCTTTGAAAGCTGCGATCTCTGACAAATGAACCTGACGAGTTTTATCGTTGCAGCTTATTGGTGAAGCAGTTTACACCAAACGTGTTCAAGGTATACCGTGCTGTTCTTATCGAATTGCTTCATGTTTTCTGACTTCTGTCCGCTTTGCAGAGCGTATCGCACAAGCGAATTACTATCGCGATCCTCTCCGCATTGACGCCTATCTGAAACACGGTACGTTGCATTTCGTGGTTATATATTGTTTTGCCCTTGCGCTAAAAGCTCATATGTCTGAACAATTTGCACAGCGGAATTTCTTCCCGACCTTAACAATGAGAAAATGTCTAGAAACCAGACATACAAGAATAATTTCATTAAACTGCAGAACCTTGTGCTCGTTCGAGCCAACAAGGATACTCAGGTGTTTCCGAAAGAATCCGAGTGGTTCGGAATGTACCAAGACGGTGACCCGTACAAGACAATACTTGGCTTCAACGAGACAAGATGGTACCAAGAAGACTTGTTCGGGCTAAAGACTCTGGATAAGGCTGGCAAGGTTCATTTCTTGTCAACGGATGGAGACCATCTACGCTTTTCCATCGAATTTCTACTGGGAGTGGTCGACAAGTACTTTGGCCCACAAATTATGAGCAGCTAATGAAGACGTTGAACTGAACTGAGCAACTACTGAAGCACTATGCGATTTTATGGCAAGCATGAGTGAATGCGATCACTTGGGAAGATGAATCTGCATGGATAGTTCATATTGCAAAGTCTCCATTGCACCTTGAAGTCAGAATCATTTTCAGCAAATCACCTTTCAGATACAATCATCTTTTCAGCGAATCAGAGAGCCGAGGCAGAAACCACCTGTAACGCATTCTCCCCATTTTCCAAAGGGATAGAAGCTGGGCAAACTCAGGCGCGACATACTTCAAGACAGCGCGACGCACACAACCCCCCGACGGATTCGAAGGCCTCCACCTGACGCAGGAGATCAAGCCGCGTCGGAGTCCGAACTTTGATCTTCATTCCATAGTCTAGAGGCGACAAACAAGCCGCTCAAAGCCGAACGTAGCTTTTCGCGAGCCGAGACCTCGAGTTGTGCATTTACCGCTGCAATTTGTACATTTTCTTAATATTTACACTGCAGTCCGAGACAAAATGGCATCGCGAGACTTAGTTGGACGCCCACTGGTGCCATTCTTCGATAGCGACGACAACGTGAACGACTCATTGCAGCTGGCAGAGGGAGATGACGAGCATGAGGAGATGGACGTCGACGCGCGAGTCTGGGATAAAGAACTCGGCTACTTTGTGTACCCCTCTGAGAAACAGGGAGTCACAATTGCAAACCGGGAATCGAGGACGGACAGCGGCAGCAAATTGCTGCTCACGCCCTCCATGATGCTGTCCAGCAGTGCACCAGAACACTTCAACTTTATGACTGCAAACGGGAATCCTGTACAAGCTACTACAGGTATAGAATTGCAATACTTTGCCATGCATTTCGACATTTTCTCTTAATCCTCCGGTTTTTTTATTTGGATACATGTTTGTATTGCGATCTTCGCACAGATGACGCTCCTGCGCGCAGCAGCTCAGCAAAGCGTGGATCGAAACAGAAGAGACCCAATACACCGGGACGGCGACGGAAGGACAAAGACGAAGGTGAGGAGGCATCCGCAGTAAACACTATATCATCCAAGAAGGGCAAAAACAAAGCTGGCAACACGAACAGCAGTGGTAATGGCCAGCAATCGCGTAATGGGAAGCAAAAGGAGCAGCTCTCAGCCTCCGGCAAATGGGCCTGGTCAGCGTTCCAGTCGTCGCCCGACCCGACTGAGCTGCCAATGCCGCCGTTCCTCACTAAACCATCGGGAGGTATAAGCAACGGCGATAACTCTCCTCGTGTTCCAAAAGCCCCAGCGCCTCCTCTTCCGCCTACACCTCCGCCAACTCAGCATACGAGTGTGCCATTCGCGCCACCATTGCCTCCAGGGCCTCCTCCTTCGCATCCACCGCTACCACCGATGCCTGCAACACCTCCGGATGCACAGATGTCTATCGAGTTATCGATGACTCAAGATCTCCGTAGGATGCTGAATATTGGCGGAGGGTAAGCGGAAGATGTTAAGGGTGGCCAGTGAGAGTGGTTCACATGGGGTGAGAGCGATTGAAACTTGGTTCAGTGAGAGTGAGCAAGCAATGCCGAGACGAGTCAAAGCAGCGATCTGTAGCTGACAGAATCAGTGAGAGTGATTTTATGGAAATTGATCGTCATGTGCGTGAAACGATTCGTTTCAAAAAGATGAAAAGAAGTTGGGGCTCACTGGAGATTAATAGAGCGAGGAGGAAAGTCTCCTTATTGAAGCATCCACACACGTAGGTGTTGTGCCTGTCTTACAGGTGCTTGGTTGGCACGAAAGAATTGCACATGCAATGACGCTCACTAAAGAGCTCCTCCAACAGATGTCGGTGTTTGATATGTTTTGTATCGTAGCAGATCGTGCGAAACGATAAACTTCTTTTGCGATCAAATGAAGCCTTTGAGTTTCAAGCGGAGATATCCTTGCACTGATGGTAGCATTGCTTCAGCATGGCGGAGCTTTCCGCGGAAGCGATAACGTATTTTCGACCGCACATTATTCACACCGGTCCTCAGCTTTTGCCTGAACTTTAGCTAAGACGAGGGTGTTAAACGTATCAATTTCTCACGCTTCATGCAATAGCGTTGGGAGAGGTTCATCCATTTCTGCCATCATTCCAGACCAGAACGTTTCGTGTTTCGCCTTTTACACTTTACTTCAGTATGCGTCATTATGGCGAGGGTGCACACTGGCAATCGTTCCATGTGCGGCGTTTCGGGGCATAACCTCTCTCAACTTCCAGCCCCCACCCGGCAGCACGCACGGCAAGACTCTTGCTTTTAGCGTCTGGGACGCCGCTGGATCCGACTAAGAAGCGCACGAGCTAGAGAACAAGCCTCTTCCCCCGTCTGCCGAGCATCGACACGCAAGTTGAAGTGGCCATCAATCTTCCGGCTTCTCAATCGATGGAGATCGCACCTGTAGCCGCTGCATTCAGTGGGCGAGCGAGCACTGGAGGGGAAGTGTCCAACGCCAAGAGGAAACTCGAGAGTGCGCACTCGTTTTTCTCTTTCTCCGCGTCGACATCGCCCTCGGGCTCTCCGACTGCAGCCTCCAACAGCTACAAACCATTCCGAGGCAAAGCAGACGCGCTGCCACCGCTCGATTCACATCCTAAAGTGCGACGTTGTTCTGCTACGGGGCCTCCGTCGCTTACACGCTGCTATTCTGACGGAAAAATGTATAATTTATTTTATATTCTCTTTTATTTTAATGATTACTCGCGCTAACGATGGATGATGTTGGCTGGTTCGACTAGTTCAAAGGCGTTCGGAGAGTTGTTGACTGCAGAAGAAGCTGCAGACAGCCAGAGACTGCAGTCGTCCAAGGTTTGTCCTACGTCCTCTGCACTGACGCTGCAGAAGAAGAGCATTTCGCCTCGTCCTGGCGTGTGTCCGTCGCCTGAACTGCACCGCAATCCATTCCTAGATGACGAGACATGGCCATTAACCGTCCCCAGAGGTAAAGTGCTAACAATTGTCAACGACCAGAAAATCCAGCGTGGAGACTGGAATCCTGGTGCCAAATCGTGCAATTTTTTGACTGACGTACATGCACTCTTATTGTTGGTTATGCCAAAACTTGTGCAGGTCCGACGTCGACATCACCGGCATTTGCCACCAAGAGCTACAACAACAATACGACACCTCAGCGCAAGACGAGTGACAGCTGTGTCATGTTTACTCCACCGACGCCCAACAAGCGAGTGTGCAGCCAGCAAGGCTTTACGCAGAGCAAGGCGGGCGCGTCAGGGAACTGGGCGCCTTCTCTTACACAGGCGAGAAAGCGCTCTCTGGGGGTGTCTGATGGCTCTCACTTCGCTAGTGCGTCTCCCTCGGACAAGCGAGCTTCGCTGTCTATTGACATGAACCTGGAGAGTCGAAGCAACGGCCTTCCTGGCGCTCTGTCCTCCTGTTCGTCGTCGTCATCGACTCCACCGGTCTCTGTGTTGTCCCGGAACAGCGTGAGCGTACCGAAGAGAATGTATCCGCCCCAGCGTCGCAGTCGAAACCCGGGCAACTTATCGTTGGATCTATCGCAGGTAGACCAAGCGAACGTGGATCCAAATACCACAACGACTGGTGCTTCCAAGCGACGCAATGACCAGGCTGCAGTGTGCTCCAAGCTAACGGACTTCCTGTACATCGGTGGTGCTCTAGCTGCCAAGAACAAATCCATGTTGCTCCAGAACGGCATCACACATGTCATTAACTGCGCGGCCAGTGTAGCTCCAGCCTCGTTTCCCGATGACTTCTGCTACTTCAACATCAGACTGCGCGACCATTCTTCGCAGGACATCGCCAGACACTTTTACAGCATTTTTGACTTCATTGAACGTGCTCGTGAAAGTGGTGGACGCATCTTCTTGCACTGTGTGAAGGGGATTTCTCGCTCCCCGACGATGGCGATCGCGTACTTGATGTGGTACAAGAACATTGGAATGTACAAGGCGCTGGACTTTGTGCGTCAGTCGCGACCAATTGTTGATCCCAATGCTGGCTTCATCTTTCAATTGACCGAGTGGGAGCAGCTCCACCCTCAAGGAAGACTCAAATTTCAGCGCACGATCGTCTTTCGGATGGACGTGGCGTACACTAATGTGGACAAGAGGAACAGTATGGTGGCAGCGAAGAACCCGCTGTTCGTGGGTCCGTTGCCCAGTGTCAGCGAGAATTACTTCCGCGATCCGACCAAGGATATTGGGGAACTGTGCTTGATTGTAGCATGTGCCGACTATATGTTCGTGTGGTGTGGAACCGACGTCAATGGGGATGGCGTGGAAGTGGCGGAGCGTGGAGCGCAGATATTGCAGCGCTACGAAGCGTTCCCAGCCAAGTGCGACACCGTGAGGCAAGGACAGGAACCCGTGGCGTTCTGGGACCTCGTTGGCGACGATATATGAGAAAATGTATAGTACATAGTATACACGTTTAGCAGCAAGGAAGTGACGGTCGTAGGTAGGAACTTACAAAGGATATGAGAGTCTTCGTGATGGATCAACATACTACGTAGAGCGCTCTACCTTCCTCTTGTAGGTAGGTTTCGTAGGCTTCCGGTGCTTGCATATGTGACTGTGTTGCAGTGTGTGGTCCATGATTGGTGACCAATCAAAAGGCCACACCGCCGGTATCTTGCACGAAGAGGTGGAGGCGATTGGCTCTGACAGCCAGCAGAATAGGCAAGAGACCAGTTGCAACACCCAGCACTGCGTCAATTTCCCTCGCTCCGAGCCACACACCAGCGGAAGAAGACAAGCATGACGACTACCAGCAGCTCGAACGCTACACTGCTGCTCGTGACGGGGCTGCTTAGTGTGGGCATGGCCGCTATGGGCTACTACTACCTCCATATGAACAGCAAGATGCCGTCCAATGACAGCGAGACTGGCGTATACAACAGCGTTGCTTCCACTTCCAGCTCAACAATTAAGACAACTAAGGAGACTGTGGCAGCTACCGTCGTTGAAGCGCCCAAACCGACTCCTCCTAGTCCTAAAGAGACCCCGAAGAAGATAGAGAAGGTTGTTGCATCTCCAGTTAAGAAGGTGGGGCCTCCTGTTGTTGCTGAGTCCCCGAGAGAGACTCCTCTGAGTCCTAGTGTGGAGGTTGCAGCTAGTCCTAAGAAGGAATTTGTTGCTAGTCCTAAGGAAGAGAATCCGAAGAGCAGTCCGAAAAAGGAGGTGGAGCCTCCGGTTCTCGAGCTCCCTAAGCCGGCGCACACCAGTTCGAAGCAAGCTCCGGAGAGCCCTAAAACTACTGCTGAAAGTGATCAACAGGCTCCTGTTAGCCCGATCAAGGTTCCTCAAGGCCCCAAGAAAAGTGTCGAGAGCCCCAAGAGTCCTGCAAAGACCCCCGAGAGCCCTAAGAAGACTGTTGAAAGCCCCAAGAAGGAAGCTGCTGAGCCTGCATCTGCTGTAGATGATGTTGTCAAGAAAATGCTGTGCGAGGACTTGATCATTAGCCAGGCCGTCACGGAGACTGCGAATGCCTTCACCGAGGAGCTCCTTCAGGAATCGCTTGAGAGTGTTGCATTGGAGCAGGAGGAATACGTTCAAGTGGAATTGACGCAGTCGATGACACTTGATAAGAGCACGCCCGAGCTTATCAACGTCGAAGATGCAGTAGCAAAGACAGAGGAGGAAGCTGTCCACACTTCTGCAGCCACACAGGATGAAGAGAGCATCGTTGAGGAGGACGAAGAGGAGCCGGCTTCGTGTGAACCAACTGAGCCTGTCGTCGAAGCGGCTGCGGCTCTGGCTTCACCTAAGAGCCCCGTGCAGTCTCCCTCGTGGGAGGCTATCACTAGTCCGGAAGTCAAGGTGGCACCTGCTGAGGAGACTCCGACTCCGTTGTCGCTAGATACACCGGCAGAAAGCACCGAGTCTGCCGAGCCTCTCTCCATCAACGTCCCAGTTGAGAACGACGATACATCTGTCAATGACAAAGACAATTCCTCACCCGTGAGCAGTGGTGGTTCATCCCCAGGGATCAAACGCAACCGCAACCGGTCTAAGAAATCCAAGAGCAAGAGGAAGAAAGCCAAGAAACACCAGAAGTTCAAAGCTTAATAGCTTTCGCTTCGTATAAGCGCTATCCGGTCTCGGTATCAGGCGTGTAATTAGTTATTGAATATAGCACCAGTGCGCTTCACCAGCTCCTCGTTGCTGTAGGCGCACACACTTTTTGTGATGAAAAGTATGGCGTAAGTTACTAATCTACTAGTGTAAATCTTAGCTTAAACGTAGAGCTCCGTGGACAGTTTGAGGCCTAGGAACTCACGTACGTGGTCATCGTCAGCAATACCCGGGATCTGTAGCAAGTGATGCAAGAAAGCCTGCAGCAACTCCTTGCGTCTGGCCAGAAAGTCCGGGTTCAGGTCCCTGCAGCAATAGGTCTTTGGTGGCAGTTCAGGCAGTCGGTCGCCAGCTTTGAAGCGCACACTGACGAACAACAAGTCGTCAGCTTGGGGTCGCACTTGAATGTCAGTACGTTCGCTGACTCGTACCTCGACTGTAGCCCGTCGAACTCGCTGAAGCGACGCAGTACCTTCCAATTGCGTCGTCCGTTCTGGATCTGGAGCTCGTATAGTGCGTACTCGTCCTCCTTCACTAAGTACTTGATAATGGCCACAGTGAAGTAGTCTGGGCCTATGAATACGCAGCAACACGTCAATAACATTGTGGCGTCAAGAGAATCATCCTTGCAGCGCGCACCGTAGCGTAAGGACCACGCGTTCTCAGGCAAATACACGAGCGACATGATGGCCAACTTAGACTGTCGTATCCAAATCTGATTCCACTAATCTATCAACGTCCTTTTATTGGTTGAAAATAAACCAACCACTGAATTCTAATCGATTTCCACCTATCATCAGTCGTTTCTGCGACAGCGCGTTGTAACGTCGGAGAGAAGTAGAAGAGCAGCAGGTGAAGAAGGAACCCATACTTCTTCTTTGCAGTCTGCAGCATCATGCAGGTCTACGTGCGCGTGCACGACGCCGACTACGAGTGGGTGCGGGGCCGCGTATTGCGGCGCCATGAGAGCGACGCCTCTAAGCTCCTCGTGCAGCTCAATAACAGCGACACAACAATTGAAGCGGATGAAGCTCAAGATGTCCGTATGGCTAACGAATTAGCAGCCGGCCTGACGCTGGCGGACGTGGAGAACCTGGACGCACTCACACATCTACATGAACCCGCATTTGTGGACTATTTAGCGCAGCGCTATGGCGTAGACCAGGTGTACTGCAGGTCTGGAGCCGTTCTCATCGCTGTGAACCCCTTTAAGCACATTTCAGGGCTCTACGATCTGCACAAATATCGCGAAGAAATGCCTGGCTGGACCGCACTGCCACCTCACGTGTTCTCCATTGCTGAGGGAGCCTATCGGTCGCTACGACGACGACTACACGAGCCTGGAGCGAGCAAGAAGAACCAGACGATCCTTGTGAGTGGAGAAAGCGGAGCAGGCAAGACGGAAACCACCAAGTTTATTATGAATTACCTAGCACAGAACAGTTTGGACACGACTGCAACGACAAGCAGCAAGAGGAAGCGCGCGATCGGCGGCAGTGAACTTCTGAGCGCGAATCCGATCTTGGAGAGCTTCGGCAACGCCAGAACTTTGAGAAATGATAACAGTAGTCGCTTCGGAAAGTTTGTGCGTATGTTCTTTGAAGGACATGAGCTGGATGCGTCGTTAAAGATGGCCGGGACGTCAGTGGAGACGTATCTGTTGGAAAAAGTGCGTGTGGTGCATCAGAACGATGGAGAACGGAATTTCCACGTGTTTTACGAACTTTTAGCAGGTGCATGTGACGATATGAAGAAGGAATTGCAGCTTGAAAGCCTCTCTGCACAGGAATTCCAGTATGTTAGTGGCGGTCAATGCTATCAGAGAAATGATGGTGTACGCGACGATAAGCAGTTCCAATTGGTGCTGCAGTCGATGAAAGCTCTGGGCTTTACGAACGTCGAACAAGCAGCGATCTGGAAGATTCTGAGTGCGCTACTACATCTTGGAAATGTGCTGTTTGTTGCCTCGAGTGAGGACGAAGGTGAGGAAGATAACAGAGCTGCGTCGGAGCCGTGTAGATTGGCATCTGCCTCGCCGTCTTCGCTTACAGTTCAAGAGCATCTCGACATTGTGTCAAAGCTGTTCGCAGTGGATCAGGAGGAACTGGTGTCAGCGTTGACGACGCGGAAAATCAGCGTCGGAGGCGAAACTTTTCATGCAAATTTGAGTCTTGCGCAGTGTGGTGATGCTCGAGATGCCATGGCGCGGTCGCTGTATGCGTTTTTGTTCCAGTTTCTGGTCTCGAAAGTCAACTCTGCGTCGCCACAAGTCCAGGAAAGGAATCCTGCGAATAAAGCAGCAAATAAGGATACAACTCCATGCATCGCAGTGCTGGATATCTTTGGGTTTGAAGAGTTCGAGGTGAATCAGTTCGAGCAGTTCTGTATCAATTACGCCAACGAAAAGCTGCAGTATCAGTTTATCCAGGATATTTTATTGACCGAACAGCAGGCGCATATTGAGGAAGGGATCAAGTGGAATGCTGTGGACTATGAAGACAACTCCGTGTGTTTAGAAATGATTGAACAGCGTCCCAGTGGTATATTCTCTCTTCTGGACGAGGAATGCGTTGTACCCAAGGGAAGCGATGCAGGTTTTGCCAGGAAAATGTGTCAGCGACTGCAAGACCACAGCAACTTCAGTGCCTCTCGCACTGATCAAGCTGACGTCGCGTTCCAAATCCATCACTACGCAGGCAAAGTGCGATATCAAGCAGAAGGTTTCTGTGACAAGAACAAGGACCAGCCCAATGCAGAGCTGTTTAGTGTGCTGGGTAAGACTAGCGACTCTCATTTGCGCGAGCTGTTCGAGTTTTTTAAAGCCAGCGAGACGGCAGAACTGAGTCTTGGACAGCCGAAACTGAGACGGCGCTCGTCTGTGCTCAGTGCGGTTGGAATCGGCTCTCAATTTAAGCAACAATTGGCAAGTCTACTGGACGTTGTACAGCAGACAGAGACGCACTATATCCGCTGCATTAAGCCTAACGACGAGAGCGCAAGTGATCAGTTCGACATGGCCAAGGTGTCGAGTCAATTGCGCTATGGTGGAGTGCTGAAGGCTGTGGAGATTATGCGCCAATCGTTCCCAGTTCGTATGAGCCACTCCGACTTCGTAAGGCAGTATAGCCTTCTGACTACGAGTCCCAGCTGCACTGCTGGGGATCTGATTGAAACACTTAAAGTTGACCACGCTGAAGTTGGTAGAACGCGAGTGTTTCTGCGTCAACAGGCCTTCGACCAATTGGAGAAGCGGCGTGAACAAGTCATCGCTGACTCGGCAGTGAAATTACAGAGTTCGTGGCGTGGCAGACAGCAACGTCGTGTGTATATTAGACAACTACAAGTTCTGTGGAGTATTCAAGTGCGATGGAAGGCGATTCTGGAGAAGAAACGACGCATCGCTCGACGGGAGGAGGCAGCTAGGACGATTCAGCATTCAATACACTGCTGGATACAGGCGCTTCAACGGCGTCGTCATCGGAGTGCAATACTTATTCAGTTTGTTTTTCGGAGGTGGCACCAAGCTCGCGTCACATTGTCAAGGACAGCGGCTGAAGCTTCAGCTAAAACCCCGCGACAAGAGGACAAGTCGGAGGACTCGGTGGGCTACAGTGGGCGAGAAAGTGTGCTCACTATTGAGACTTTGGAAGACGACGTGCTTTCTACAGCGACAGCATCAGTTGGAACAAGTGCATACTCGGAAGATGTCGAGCTGTCGCCTATGGACGCGGTGAGAAGAGCTACTCTCCGTGGACACATGAGCGAGTTGGGTGGTGCAACTGACAGTGACAATGCGATGCTGAAGAAGGCACTCAGGGAGGTTGAGCGGCTTCGTCGTAGAGCTGAAGCTGCTGAAGCTGCGCTGTCACATTTTGCTGGTAGAGACGTTGATGTTTCCACTGAAGCCTTGTCCATGGTTGCAACTAGAGCAGATGGGCCGTATTATAATCGAGCGAGTGACGGTGGCAATGCGTTGTGGAGGCAGTTGAATACGTCGAACCTGAGGATCGATCGATACGGCAACACTGTGTTGCATCAGGCTGTGGAAAGCGGCAATGTGGAGCTCGCGTGCGCGCTTCTTGTTAATGAGGCAAGTGGTGCACTGGATATGCTGCAGCAAGCTGAGACGCAGCGTGGCTACTCTTCACTACATCTTGCTGTTCGTGGTGGCAATTTCGAGATGGTGAGTCTGTTTTTCCGCCCAGAGGTATTGCCACATCTCGATTTGAATTTCAGCGATCGTGAAGGAAACACAGCGCTGCATTTGGCCACTCAACTTCAGGTTAAGATTGCGTCGCGAGTGCTGGAGTTGCTGCTTTGTTTTGGTGCTGATGCAAATGCAGTGAACTTCCTGAAACAAACCCCTTTGCACTTGTGCTCAATGATCAAACGTAGCGGATCTGCAACGTGTGAGATTATGGAGACGCTCTTGAGACATAAGGCTGACCCGCAGAAAGTAGACTTCCTCAAGCGCTCACCACTGCATTATTGCATGGAGAAAGGTATGTACTGGTGTTCTGAATCCAGGAGAGTCAGATTGGTTAATCGGGTTATGTATTGACTTACAGATATGGAGGACGAGGCCGTGCTTTTGATGAAACACGGAGCGGACATGAATTTACCCGACGGCGAAGGCCTGCGCGTCGTAACGAACCCCAAAGCCACGGGTGTAAGTAGTCAATTGCTGTGTGTTTTGTTCTTTCGGATGGATGAATTAACTGTAGTTGATGTTTGCAGCTCCTGCGTTATATACGCGTGACGCCGTCGTGGATTCCCGATACCGACGTAACTGAGTGCATGGTCTGTCTGGAGCCGTTCCCGTTTTTCTTCTCGCGCAAGTGCCACTGCGACCGCTGTGGCCGTGTCTGTTGTTCCGACTGCGCGCCGTCAAGCTCATCCTGGAATGGCCGTTTCTGCTTCGACTGCAAGCACTACGCACACTACTCGTGATCCTGAGAACCTACCGTATTCACTATTTTATTTTTCGTATTACTAGACCAACAGAGAGAGCACAGAACGAAGTATTTTATATGCATAGGCTCAAAAAGCATGTTAGATTCATAACACTAACGATACCAATGACAATGGGCTCTAACATCTACTAACGCGGATGTGAAGTGTAGACCCGACCAATTTGAATCACTTGCGTGTGAGCAAGCGAGCAGCGACGAAAGATGCAGACACCACGAGGGTGGTAAGTGCCACGAGTTTCACCTTATCGTCACTCACTTCGTTCCACTTCGCCGCCAGAGCAGTCGTGATAATTGAAACCATGCCATTTCCGTCAGCATCAGCATGTTTCTTCTTTCGTGAAGACTCCTTGGCTATCATTTTCTTCTTCTTTGTACCGCACTTGCCACCACAGTTCCCACCACCACCAGAAGAACAGCACGATCCATTGCCACCACAGCATCCTCCTTCATCGTGGTTATCGTCGTCTCCTTCATCATGGTCGCCACCATTGCATGACGCTGCCGACTTTACCTTTGATAAAGCCTTGGCACGATCCGCAGCTGACAGCTCACCTTCAGTGCGGATCTGCTCGCGAATAGCAGCCGCTGCCACAGTACAGGGCTGGGAACGTGAGATCACTTCGCCCGTAACGTGGAATCGTGCCGCGGTGAGGACGCGTACCTCCGCCGTGCACCCGATGAGGGAGTCATCACGAGGGAGGAGCACCTTTGTATAGTTCTTGGTGTGTGCAACCGTGTACTTCTTGTCGTCCGAGACTTCCGTGTTCACCCATACTTTCTGTGTAGTGCCCACAAGGTGCGTGTACGGCTCGAATGTCTCAAATAGTTTGGTGAGTTTGCGACTGCGGTTCTTGACTACCTGAGTGGGGACACGTTTCATCTTGGCCGCAGGAGTTCCCGGACGAGGGTAGAACTGGGAAATATTCATGATGTGGAAGCGGTACTTCTCCACCAGCTCCATCGTCTCATCAAAATGCTCCTCGGTTTCGGTTGGGAAACCGCAGATGATGTCTGTTGCGAGCGTAAGATTCGGCACTTTAGCAAGCAGTTCGTCAGCCACACGACGGAACTCGGCAGCCGTGTACTCGCGGTTCATAGCCAGCAACACATCGTCACTGCCAGACTGGACGGGTACATGCAGGAACGAGTATACTCGATCATGGTTTAGCACTTCAGCGATCGCATCCAAGTGATCCAGGATGTACGGAGGGTTCGTCATACCTACACGGAGCATGACGCCGTCGGGCACAACTACCAGCAACTTACGCATAAGTGTAGGCAGATCGGTGCCGATGTCAATGCCGTAAGCTCCAGTGTCTTCACTTGACAGCCAGATCTCCGTCACGCCTTCGTTAATCACCGTCTGCGCTCTGGAAACGATCGCTTCAGGCGTGTAACTTCCCAATTTGCCTCGAGCATGACGTGTCTTGCAGTATGTGCAGGCACCAAGACAGCCTGTACTCAGTGGGATGATCTCCACCATGGGATTCTTGCGAATCTTGGGCAGATCAAGCTCCGGCAGGCGGTTCTTGGCCAGTAGACGCACTGTGTGGCCCTTTAAAGTCTCCTCCACGACCTCCACGACTCGATCTACTTGCTGGATACCCACGATGCTGACTTCCTCGAGGCCCTTGAGGTGGCGATCAGCCTGTGGCACGCAGCCGGCCACGACCACAGCCTTGTTCTGCTTACGGCCCTTGACGGCCAGGTGCATGAAGGCAGCTTGGGATGGGTCTTTGACAGTGCAGCTGTTGAGCAACCAGAGCTGCGCCGCGTCCGGGTCCTGAGTGAAGCGGTAGCCGTAGCTGGCCAAAGCGCCCTGCATATACTCCGAGTCGCTCACGTTGTGAGAGCAGCCGTACGTCTTGATCCAGATGAGCTGCGTGCCAGGAACACTGGGCTCCGTGGTGTCAAGATCCGAGCTGCTGCTGGCTGTGCTGCTGGCCGCCGACGGTTTGGTGGTGTCTTGGAAGCGAGGCTTAGGTGCCACCATGGGTGTGCGCACGGAGCTCACGGCTGCACGGTCCAGCTCCTCCTCGCCGATCATGTCCTCGATGTCATCCATGGTTCGATGTGGTCTATTGAACAGCTCAACAAAATGGAACAGTCCGGTGGCCAGTGTTTGACTATGTACAACAAAATGGGGGTGTTTGGAATACATTATGGAGGTAGTCGTGTTATTTTTTGGTTAAAGCTTTTGGTTAGTTACTTTTCGTAGTGATATAATGTGGGTTTAATACTTTAGAGAGGTAAAAAGACCTGACAGCGAGTGGGTGAATCAATACCAGTCGAATTGATAGTTCAGGGTAGCCCATATTTATGTACTCAGAATTCCGCTCGCTAGCTGTTGACATTTTTTAACGCTCTCCCTTTCACACCAGAAATCTACCTCAGACCTCAAGCATCTCCATCCCTCGTTTCTTTTCAGCTGAACTTGCAAATGACGGTTGGCACCTTAAACACGTTTCCGTCGTCGTCGGAGCACGACGTCTGGAGCTCGATGTACTTGCGACTGCAGTCCACGAGTCCTTCGTAGCGTGATTCCACGAAGGCCCGAAGAGGCTTTGTCATCTGATCGGCATAAAGCTCCTTCAGCGCCTTGCCGAAGGCGTTGCGGTCGTACAGCATCAAACCGCTGACAGTGCGGTAACGCGGATCCTTTTCCGCAGCGCTGGTGTTGCCCATTTCTGCTACACGGTGGAACAGCAGGTCGCAGTTAAGTTCGGTCTTTTCCTTGAACTGAGCCAAGAAATCCTCCAGCGTCGAATCGGACGACAACTCGATCAGAGTGGAGTCCCACTTCGTGAATCCAGGGGGCTTGCACTTAACCTCCGACATCTCCACCACGTCATACTCGTCCTTGGCACGAGCTGGTGCTGCAGGCTCCTGCATCAGATACATGTTCAGACCCAGCGAATTGGACGAGTCCTTGAACGCTTCCAGCTCCTTCCGCTGCATCAGCTTTAGCATCTCCAGCATTGCCAGGCCCGTCACCGATGCCGTCGTCGTCGCAATGGCTGGAATGATTTTGCCTGCAATCATCTTGCACTTGTGGCGCGACGCGTCGCGGATGCGGTAGTTGAAGGCTCGCAGGTTCGACGCCGCGTAGATAAAGTCGATGTGGAAGTTCATGTCCTGATCCTTCTCAAAGTCCGCTGGCTCGAACGATAGGCCCGAAAGATCAAATGTTTCGAGCTCGTGCAGCAGCTCTACAAGCTCATTCTTGTCGGAGTCATTCGAGTTCTTGATCTTCTCCTGCTCTAGACGCTTAATTTCATCCGAGTCAGCTGCAATCTTTTCGTTCGACGGTTTCCAAGTCGGCGGAACATACTTGTTGCCAAGCTCTTCATACGTGGACGGGTCACGCCATTCCGAATCAGCAGACACCAGTTTCTGCTCCGGAGGTGGTTGGATTCCGTAGCAAACAGCCAAGATATTGGCAGTAGCACGGACGAAGTTCAGGTGTAGCGGGTTTTGTGGGTCAAACTTCTCCACCGCCTGGGGGAAACGCTTGGCTCCCGACCAGAACTTTTCTCCAGAGTTCGTCAGGTGGTCCTCGGGGAAGTTATGAATGAGCTGCAGGATACGGTCACGGAAGCGCGACGTCATGAGCTCGAACGCCAGCGTAACACACTTCTCGAACGTGATATCCTTCGCCGTCTGCAAGGTAGCGCGCAGACTGCGAAGTCGCTCAAGCTCTTGGACAATTGCCGCGGCAACAAGCTTCGGGTTCGGGTTTTCAAGAGTAGCCTTCTTTACCTGATCGAGATACGCTGCGCGGTCTTCCACAAACTTCTTAGCCTCTGCAGCAGGCACCACGAAAAGATCTTCAAACTGTGCACGCGACCACTCGATGCAGTGCTCGATGAGGGACGGGAAGTTACGTAGCGTGCACATCGGGATACCATCACCTTCAGCATCCTTGGGACCATCCGCGTAGCTCTGCGTCTTGTACGGGATCACCACCTGCACATTACACTTCGTACCCAGTGTACCACTCTCCAGCAGAGGCAGCTTGTGAAAAACGCACTTGCTGTCCACGTACAGACGTGCTTTCACATTATCCAACGCGTTCGTGACTACATCCAGGTCAGCCCAGAACTCGTCATTGAATACATTCTCCGTGTGAGGAGCTACAAGTTGCTCCAATGTCTTCACCTTCAGGTCAGCGTTCATCTGGTGCACTGCAGCAGTAGCAGCTACAGATTTGGGCTGCCCAACGTTGTGCTCCCGGAAGAGGAACTGGCGATTCAGGTTGCTCACCTCAATACGGTCGTTGTCTGTGACCGTCACAAGACCCTTGTCACCACACGCAAGACCAACCATGGCGAAGTTCTTCAGGTATTCACAGCCAAGAGCACCGCAGCCCACCAGGAACGTGCGAACGTTTCCAAGCTGCTTCTGAAATGACAGTCCGAAAGCAGTGATGATGTGGTCGTACCGCGAGCCGATCGGTTTCGCGTCCGTTGGGCGCTCATCAGGCAGCACTTCGAATGCATCCAAGTGCAGCCACTGCTTCAGTGGAGTGAATTTACCCGTGAACTTGACGACTTCCTGGGCAACGACACCACCGTAAAAAGCAGCAAGAGGGTGAAGCTCAACGGCGGCGTAGAGAGCAGCCTGACGTGCAGTCTTCTCATCCAGCTCCTCGAGCTTCATTACTTCCTGCTTGTTGGCACCTTCACGAGTGAAGGCAGAAAGGTGCTGAATGCCTTCCTTGGCAATAGCCACAACTTCGTCCGCATCTTGGTCGTTGTGCGGTTCCGGGTAGTGGCCATGACGTTCCTCGAACTCCATCAAACTCCACATGATGACGTGGAGCTGCTCTGCGCGGCCAAACTTGGCACCATCCGTGAACATGAGGCCGAATTCTCCTTCAGGAACAGGCGACACCAGCGACTCCTCAAACGACTTAAACTTCACTGTGAACGGCTTCTTGTGCTGAGTAAATACACCTCCACCTTCATACGGCGTAAACTCCGACGTGTCGCCGATCTTCAGACGATACGCATCGAACACTTCTGTCTGTTTGCCATTACGGAACACCTTCTTGTTGGCAAACTTGATGCGGCGTGGTCCCATCGTGTTGATCGACTGGTTCGGGTTGCTTTTAAGCTTCATACCCTGCACGTCACTGATCTCGATCCATCCGTCGTGGTCCGAATCCGGCATCTCGTGCATCTTACCGTCCTCATCGGGGCCTAAAATGCTCAGCACTCCGTCCTTGTCGTTCGTAATATCCGTGATAATACGAGTAATTGGCGCTTCACCCGTGGCGTCAAAGCCCTTGAACTCGTCGCCAAAGTCCGTGAACGCGTAGCCGAAGGCACCACGGATGTCGCACGTGATGAAGCCAATCTGAGGAGACTGCTGACGGCAGAAGTGGTTCCAGCGCACCAGCTCCTTGCGACTAGTGTGCGAAAAGACCACCACGTTGTGCTTGGCCACCACCTCCTCGGTTAGCGGACCCTTGTGCACGGCCACCGACACCATCTTGTTGAGCTCCGCCAGCTTGTGTGAGACAGCGGAAGCGCGTGGTTGTCCTACGTCCTGCTCCGTCAGGAAGAAGTTGGTGCCCAGGTCTTTGATCTCCGCGATACCGTCATCGTGCAGCGTGATAGCGCCGGGGCCCGCGAGGATCAAGTTCTTCGCGCACTCGATGCCCACTCCCTGTAGCCCCACGATGAGGACTTTGAGCTTCACCAGCTGCGCAAGAAATGAATAAAAATATATAATTAGTCCATGTGATCATCACTCTGCAATTCCATGCTCGATCTTGCGTACCTTGGCCATCGTCTCGAGCCCAAAGGCGCCGATCTGGCGGCTGTACTTGTCCATGAAGCCCGCATCCTTCTCTAGCTGCTGCGTGGTCTCCATGGCGCTGTCTTGCTTGCGTCGCTTGCTGCTCGGGGCTTCTTCGTGGCCCTGGCAGCGTCCGTTCCGGGGCGCTGGCCGCTTCAGCTTCGTCACTCTTTTCCTTTGCGGTCCAAAGGAAAAAATGAGATCTTCCCCCTCAATTTGAGACAAATGGGAGCAAATTTTGTGATTTGATGCTTCAAGTTGTAGAGCGACACATAGTTTTTCGTTATAACCGAGTTTGTCCTACAGCAATGTCAATTCCTGCGTTTTATCCTCGAGCTTGAACAGTAGTGACTGCAGAAGCTTCTTGCGCATGCTTGTCGGTGGCAATTGTGCCTCTGACTGTACGCCTTGAAGCGACCGCATGGAGCAGCTCAGTACTCCTTGAGAAGGCACTTTGTCGTCGCTGGTCCAGACTTTCCACACATCTGCCTCGATGGTGTCTCCATTAAGCTGCGTGTTCGTTAACTCAGCTTCTCCACTGACTGCAAGTTTGACGAGAAGCAAGATCAGCTGTCGTTGATCAAAAGCGTTTAGCTGGAGATTTCTGTACGATTCGATTTGCTGCAGAGGATGGAAGCAGTTCAACACACCCAGTCGATCCAGTACCTGCGTCTTCGTGGTGAGATCGAGCAATGAAAGCGTCTCGCTCAAGTTCCACTCGTCGATGATTCGGCTGAACAGGACAATAAACACTTCACCTCGGAATAAACACCCAGTGGTTGGGTCTCGCTCGAAAGTGCCAAAATGTTCCATGATGCGCTGTGCCTGACTGCAGGTGAAATAATACAACGTTGATATGGATCGCAGTCCAACAAGTTTCATTTCAGCTGGCACCTGCAACTGCTTGAACTCCTTTAGAAACTGCTCGAAGGCGCCATCATTAAGGGCTGTACAGATAGCGTAAGGACGTCGTGTCATGACGAAATCAAACTCGAGGATTCCTAATCGCGGGAACTGCCAGTTATTCCCCATTACGATTGGTAAGCGGTTCAACCTCATATTCCGGAATCCTCCCTGAAGTGGTTGCGCTGCTTGACCGTGCTGCGATGTATCCACTAGCTTGAGTTGCTGCCGCATTTTTCTTTCGGTCTTGTTCGCCTCCAAAAGCCGCATCAAGATGCGTCGATCGATTGAGTTTGCCATGTTCAGTTGAAACCGTCCAGTCGGGTTGTTCACGTTGAACGAAATCCATTTTCCTACCTTCTGTTCGATGTGACTCTGCTCGATATCAGAGAGATTTTCAAGTCCAATGGTCATGCAGATATCGCCGCACACATCAATTTTCCCATCTGCGTCTTTGTCCTCGAAAAATTGATTCGGAGCTTCCATTGAAGCACAGTCGTAAATCTCCTCCACTAGAGCAGCCTGAGTAGACGATGTCTGAAGAATCTGCGGTATTAACGCTGCTGCAGCAGTTGCCTTCTCAACTTGAGAAGTGTGAGACTCGAACAGAGATAGCAGCGTGTTCGCTTGAGCTACAGTAAAGGAATACTCTTCTGCCAGGATCCGGATACAAAATAGCTTGGTAGCCTCGTCGCCGTCTTGTGTGTGACCAAATGATCGATCGATCAATGCCACGACTCGATCAACGCCGCTCTGGGAAATCAGGTCTTCATGACGGTCATAGTTCGGCTGAATCTTAACATGCATGGACCCTTGCGACGGAATTGAGGTCATTAGCGTCTTCTCGTCCTTCCTATTGAACGTGAATGCCGTTCCATTGTGAAGACAGTCCACGATATCAGTTTTGTTTTTCCACACAAGCTGCAGGAGTTCTCTCAGCAATATACTGTCCGATCGCTCAGTCATATTCAAATTAAACGTGCCTCCACCGTAGATGGTTCCCTCCAGCTTGCTGTCTAAGATCTCCAAATTACAATCGCCAATATCGATTTGGCATGCTGAAATGGATCCTGAGGCTACCGAACGCAGAACTGCTTCTCCTCCAATGAAGCCGATAGGGTTGCCGCGAATGACAAGAGTCTCGAGAACCGTGTTTTGCTGTAGACCATTAACCAACACCAACATCGATTTGGCTTGGACGTGATTGTTTGAAATGTCCAAGAATCGTAGTGACTTGTTTGTAGCTAAGCACACGCCAAGATCAGCATCCGCTTTTCCGTTGTTCCCAAGTGTGTTGTCGGAAAGATCCAAATGAGTAAGCGTCAGATTTTCCATCATACATCGTGCCAAGTGCTGAGCTGGTTCACCGCGTATGTTGTTCCAGGAGAGATTAAGAGATGAGAGTGGCGTCGTAATGCGCAGGAGCTCTCCAATGGATATGGCTGCGTGAAAGATGTGATTGCGTCGAAGGTCGAGATGCTCTAGCGTACAACGATTCAGTAAGCACTGCATTAGTGTTTTCACTGCTTGGTCACCGAGTTGATTATTGCCAAGATCCAGCGACTTGAGATTAATCTGCGGGTTCTCAAGCATCCGATAAATGGTGAGAGCTCCCTTGGTGCCTAGTCGGTTGTCTGAAAAATTGAGGTGTTTTAAATGCTTCATCACTATGCCGCCCATTATAGCGGACGATCCGCTGCCAGAAACACCCACATTCTTCATTGACAGGGTTTGTACCGGCACAGGAAGAAGCTGGAGTGCATTACCGAGCGCCTCAGCGCGCTTGTCACCAAAGTAGTAATTGTCGTAGCAGAGTGCTTGACTTGCTCGCTCATAACGCGATGGCCGCTTCAGATCTAGTACAGGAAGTACCAGCAGTGAAGAGTTTTGACAGTTGGTGATGTAGCGACCTCGAGTGGAGTCAGGCCGTCTGCTCGTTGTGCTGCTCTTGTACAATCTCCAAAAGTCCTCAGCTTCATTCTGAATATCTCCAAGACCATTTGCGCTTCCTTGACTACTGTCAGTAGTAACCTCATCCAGCACTTCTCGTTGGAACTTTGCTTTCGCTTCCATCAACTTCGTTGCTGCCGCCGCTGCGATTCTCATTTCTTCGGTCTCCTCCTCCTTCTCATTTGCATCGGCATCATCTCCTGAGATATCGTCATCACCACGTGAGAGCTGGTCTTCTCCATCATTTTCGTTTTTCTTAGAGCTGTTCTGACAAGTTAAAACGTTGATCATCTGCCGTGTCTTCGCAAGAACCTTATTGGTTCGATGGGCGACTTTAAACGCTTTCCATGCATCCTGTCCGGTTGATGCCGCAGCATTGGCGATGGCCGCTAAGTTCTTGGAAGACGACGGTTGTAACTGTGGCGGAGGTAGTGACGTCGGTGGCGACTGCAAATTCCTAGTCTTCCTGGACATCTGTGAACTCATTGGGGTCTGCAGATGCGGGTGTTGACTAGCGGTCGCCAGTTTCTGTCGCTGTGAGACCAGCATTTTTCGGTTAAAGCCGCCGAAGGCCAGCGGCGCATTGCCGTTCATCGCTGGCGTGGAGGGCACCGCCATGGGCGGGACGCACTCGCGCAGCATATTCTCGATGAGCTCGTCCTTGGCACCATCGTCCGACCAGCTCCAAAGATCCGAGCGAGGAAAGGTTGTCGTCTCCAAACGTCTCGCGCGTGCAGCCAGGGGTGAGGGCTTCACTCCTGCTCCTTGCGGAGGTCTAGCTGGCTGCTTCTTGGTCCCCATATTGCTGCGCACCCTAACAATAGTTGAAGTGACCATCACTCCTAACGTGTTGAATTTGGTGTAAGAATTGTGTGCTGGTGGTCCCATCCTAAAACACAGGGGGAGTGGACGTCCAGTCTATTGTTACTCCCGGTCAAGGAAGGAAGCTCTGTGCAGGGAAACATGACAAGCGTGAACGACGCGGCGCTGGAGGAAGTCAAGCCCGTGAGCAGCGGTAGCGGTCCTGACCAGTGGATCGAGAACCTGCGCAATGGCAAGGTGCTGAGTGAGTTGGAGCTCAAGCAGGTGTGTGAGATGGTCAAGCTTCTGCTCATCGAGGAGTCCAACGTGCAGCCTGTGAGCAGCCCTGTGACGGTCTGCGGCGACATTCACGGTCAGTTCTTCGATCTCCTTGAGCTCTTCCGCTGCGGAGGCGACATCGAGAACACCAACTACATCTTCATGGTGAGTGAACTATCTTCTCGATGGAGTAGAACAGTGCATTAACTGATATTTTTGTGTTTTACCATTGTAGGGCGATTTTGTGGACCGCGGACACAACAGTGTGGAGACTTTTGAACTGTTGTTGTGCCTCAAGGCGCGCTACCCAGACCGCATCACGCTGCTGCGCGGCAATCACGAATGCCGGCAGATCACGCAGGTCTACGGCTTCTACGAGGAGTGTGTGCGCAAGTACGGCAACGCCAACCCATGGAAGTACTGCACGGATGTGTTCGACTACCTCAACTTGGCTGCTATTATCGACGGACGCGTACTCTGCGTGCACGGCGGTCTGTCGCCCGAAATCCGCACGCTGGATCAGATCCGGACAATAGAGCGCCAGCAGGAGATTCCCCACGAAGGATCTTTTTGTGACCTCATGTGGTCTGATCCCGAGGACATTGAGACGTGGGCTATGAGTCCACGTGGTGCTGGATACCTTTTCGGCGCCAAGGTTACGCAGGAATTCAACCAGATCAACGGACTCGATCTCATCTGTCGTGCTCATCAGCTCGTACAGGAAGGTTACAAGTACATGTTCGACAACAGTCTCGTTACTGTCTGGTCGGCGCCCAACTATTGCTACCGATGTGGTAATGTTGCAGCTATCTTGTCGTTCGACGAAAACCTCGAGCGCGATTTCAAGTTGTTCCGCGAGGTACGATTAGTGATATTTGGTGACGTTGTGTGGTTGTTATTTCGGTATTCATGATCTGACGGTGTTTGTGATTGTTTTCAGGTTGCTGAGTCGTCGGACGGCTTTAACCAGCGTGCGCTAGTGCCGTACTTCCTGTAAGGTGGTTGTCGGATACGGCCGTTGACGACGTCTCGCACGCGCTAACGCACTGCGATCAGCGCCTTGCGTGTTGCCTGCCATCATCTGATTTACTTGCTTTCGAGCTCACACGGGTCGCTCTTATACTCTCTCCACATCGAAAAGGGACAAGGACGCTAGTAGATAGATATCCTGTCGACGGATCCTTTAAACTAAGCTTTGTGCATGTTCGTTTGTGCTGTGCTGCTTCGTTGGTGTGATACATGTACATTTAGTGCGACGGGGGAGAAAGTGGCGTCACATGCACCACCTCGGGCTCCGACATCCAACTTGCTTGCACAGTATAAGTGAAGTCCCATCCGTATCCAGCTCCTCCAAATTCTCCAAGTTGGTTTAGGCACACTATGCCTCCCACGAAGTGCGGATACACTGCTGCAATCCGCTGGAGAGCACGTTCACACGCCTTGCGAGGCTGTTACATACAAGTCAAGAATTAGGTCAGTAGAGCATAACAAAAGCCATCCTTCGCTCAAGATACATACGTGGGCACCCCTCTTCATCTCCTGGACTGCGAAGAAAGAAGGTAAGAAGCGCATCATCACATCTCCGTCTCCAGTACAGGCGGAACCGCCAATAGACGAATCCACATAAGCCCCAGCGCCAGGCACCGCAGCATCACCGACACGTCTGCATTGTAAATAGCAGTCCATCAGCTCTAGCAGAATATGAACGCGTACGTACAATAACCCAGCGATGGAACTCACCCTGCGATTTTGTGTGTTGCTCCATTGGAGCTGGTCCCAGCAGCCATGTGCCCATTTTCCGCCAGCACCACCATCCCAATAGTATCGTGATTCTGCTTTGATATCAAGCTTTCGACGCCAATGTTGCTCTGTCTGCTGGTCGAGCGCAGCAATGACTGACCTTGCCGTCCTGTATACACTTCATTCTGTGACGGCAATGGCTTGTACGGCGGACACGAGGAGTTCTGTCCCACGACGTTGCGGAAGTAGTTAGGCTGGCACTTGTTGTTGAGCCAGTCTTGGTGGATCTCTCGCGAGCGTGGCGTATCCAGAGGCGTTTCCTCGAATCCCATCATCTTGGCAAAAGCCAGCGCACCGTCCCCTGCCAAGATGCTGTGCGACGAGTGCTCCATGACCGCGCGAGCCACTTTAATAGCAGGTTTGATTCGCCGCAACTGCGCCACCGCGCCCATTTCCATCGTGGAGCCATCCAGGATCATGGCGTCCAACGTTGTCTCTCCGCTGGAGTCGGGACTTCCTCCATATCCAACAGTGAAGTCGCATTGGTCCACTTCACAGCGATTGCAGCCTCGCGTGATGGCGTCCAGTGCTCGGGAGCGACCACCGGGTCTTTGCAGAGCCTGGAAGCCTGCGCGAGTTGCATTTACAAACGGCCACGTATTAATCACCACCACACCGCGCTGTGGGATCTCATGCGCTGAACCCAGGAGCATTATGAAGCACACAAGCACCGCAAAGCTGCCGCAGATCCAGCGCTGGTGAGTCTCATGTCGTGGTTGCTCCATTGTTCTGATTGGCTCGAGTGCACAAATACATTGGATTGGACTATTCTGCTTCAACTTGGACCAAATCTGATTCATTATGCAGGTATTGTCGCTACTTCCACTCGGGTTTTTCCTTCGCTCGAGCTGCAGCTTGTTGCTGTGCTCGCAGTGCCTTGGTGAGCGAGACACTTCTAGCTATGCGTTGCACGTATGCCGGAGCTTCGATCGTGCGAGGCTTGAACGTGCACTCAGCGAACTCCCCGATTTCTTTTTCCTGGATGGCTCGACGCTGTTTGGTGGTGTGTGCTTGGCTCTGTTGCTGAATACGCTGCAGATACGAGTCGGGGTCGGAAAGGATCTTTAGCCGACCTTCATATCGCTCCGACTTGCGGTTCAATTGCGGCCGGAAGGTTAGTGATGCCATCTCCTCTTGCTCCATCTTCAGCTTCATAAGCCGCTGAGTCGTCTCTCGTCGCAGCAAATCCCCTCGACTTAATTCGGTGATGGATCGGGGCTTTCGCTTGGTACTTGCCTGATTGATCGCCGGTTTAAATGTGCAGTTCGGGTCCTAATTTGTGAAATATCAAGTTAGTTGTCGAAGAACAGACAGCCACAAGAAAGTATACGAGTGCCACTTACCGTCGATCGCACGGTCTTCTTCTTAACGTTGTCATGCTCTTTACGCAACGCGTATGAGGAAATGCGCTCAAGGAAGTCACCCTTACGGCCATTTTCCATCATGGCAAGAGACTTCTTATTGATCGTCGGCTTGTAGCCAGGTGTAAGCTGTTGTTTGGTTTGTTCAATCCGCTTGTGTCGTGCTTGCTCATGGAATTCCTGTCGCTCGATGAAGTTCTTGAACTGTCGAGCACGCTCTTCTTTGCTCTCCTGGGTTTGATCACCACCGTCCACTGATCGCGGTCCTTGTCCGCGTTGTGCACCTGACGATGATCGACGTCGACTTTTGCCGCCGGGCCGTACAGAAATATCGTCTTGGCAAGATCGAGGAGAAGTAGCATCCAGCATGTCCCTGTCTTCGTCGTCATCACCAAACAAGGATAAACTTCTCCTTCTCCCACTGCGGCTTCTAGCTGGAGATTTTCCATCTTCTGCGTCGCAACACGGCTTGCTTAATCGCTCGTAAATGTTCTGTTGTAAGTAAAGCTGTGCTGAGACCATCTCGGATCTAATGCCGTTCACTTTCGGATAGAAGGTGCATTCAGCCAGCTCCTTCGCAGCGGCTTCACGCGATGCTGCTGTCATTGACGGCGAAGATGTTGGCCTGGCCTCCATGTACTTTGCCTTGACTTTGTCACTGGGGTTGATCTTTGGCTTGAAGGTGCACTGACGATCGATCTCTGCTTCCTCGTCGGCCTTCAGCTTTGTTGCTAGCTCTTCTCGAATTCTGTAGTTGTCTGCTTCCTGGTATAGTCGTTCAGAGACAGCTTGCAGGACGCTTAGCCCTTGGTTTAAGCCACCAGATGACTGTCGTCCACGCAACTTTGCAGCGACTTTCGTGGACTTAGGGTTGATCTTCGGCGCAAACGTGCACTCGTCGAGTTCTGACTGCAGTAGCTGCTGCTTCATTTGCTCCCGAATAGCATCTTTCTGAGACTTCCAGCGAGTTACTCGCGCATGAAATTTGTCATCGATATTGTTATTGCCTCCACCTTTTCCTCCATTGTTGCCACTTGCATTTGGAATGTGCTCGTCATCAAGATCATCCCGGAACTGCTCGGTGAAGTCGAGATATTGCTGCTCTTCTTTCGTATCCTCGCGTTTGAGGCAAAAGCTGTCATCAACGAGCAGCACCTGTCCTAGGGGGTGATCTTGAGCTGCGTGCACATAGTTCTGCCGACTGGTACCGTTAAGTTCCAGTGAGACGTTGGCGCCAACTCCTCCAAACGCCGGTACTGTGGTGCCCAAATGCGGCGGATACGATGTGGATGTGCTATTAGCGTGAGCACCTGCCCCAAATCGGTCACCATCGAAGACCGACGGGTCTGCCATCTGAAACTCGGCCGGTTGTGGATGTGACTGCTGCTGATAATGAAGTCGTAGAGCGTTGCTCACTTGGCTCGATGCTGAGGTCCTCGACTTATTAGCCATCCATTCTTGTACACTAAACTGCTTTGCCTTATCATGTGATACCCCCGTCGAGAGAAACTCTACGTCACTCTCAACGATGGTAGCACCGGGTTTTGAGGTCATTGCAGCGAGGTCTGGTCCTGGAGGCAACATGAAAGGGCGTGCAGCTCCAGTCTTGCCGTGCATTGCCTGTCCAGGGAACGGCATGGGCGTCACTGCCCCACCAAAAGAGAATGCAGGAGAGGCTACTGGGGTCTGAGTCATATGAAACGGAGGCACTGCCGCAGCTGAAACACTGGTTGCCTGATTCCCTGCCACGGAAAACGAGAATACTGGCGAGATAGCTGACGGTACACCCACTCCCGGATTCGACGAAGATGTTTGATAGTTTCCATTCGACTGAATCGACGAGGTTAGATTGATGTTCATCGCTGTTGGAACGGGAGGGGGCACGGCACTGGAAATACCGGCACCTGGCCCCGCTTGAAGCTTGGCGAGTTGCTGAAAGAGCTGCATCTTGGAAATCTCGCCACTTTTCAGCTGCTGCATTAGCCCAGATACCGCCATCCCTGGCGACGTCGAGGTCTCCATGTCCCCAAAGAGGCAATTCCTTTTGGTTGTGCTGTTATGGAGATGCCGGCGTCTACTGGCGGAGTTCGGGCCATGTTAACTATTTTTAGGAAGGTGTCAATTTGAGCGAGTTTTTGCCTAGAAGTGACATAATATGGATGAATATCACTACCGACAGTCTTTTTCTTACTTAGTTTCAGTATGGTCGTATCGAGCTGATATCTGATAAACAACCAATCAAGTCGTGGATATAGTTTTTTATCCAATCCGAGTTATTAGGGTTAGGTGAAACGGCTGCCGACGTTGTGCGTTACGATTCATACTAGCCATCAAGTGTTTTTACATCATTTGGATATTCCCCCTCTGACCGACAAAAACACTTGAAAACAGTATGAGTCTGCAAGACCTCGCACCGGCCAACTCCCAGCGTGCGCAGCAGACAGCAATCAATGCGTTCTCTCGCTTCCTTGTGGCCGAAGGTGTCAATATGCAGTATATCGCAGCCACTTTACTAGGTGATATGACTGGAGCAAAGTTTGTCAAGCTGATGGATCGCTTCGCGATTTATCTTACGAGTGCAGACGGGCGAGGAGGGAAGGCGCTAGCTCACAACTCCGTCATGAGCTACTACCGGCACGTCAAAAACTGGTTACTCGACACCTACCCGAAGAACAGAGCCTTAATCGAGAAGAAGCTACTCAAGATGGCACAGACTCTGAACGGCACTGCCTGAAGCGCCTCGAAGGTGGTAGTACGAAGCGAGCACCGGCGTGCACGAAGGAAGATCTACGTATTCTGATGGACGGACTGTATTTTGATGCTGCTAGCTCTAAGGATTACCAAGACGCTGCGCTCCTTGCCTTGATGTGGTATGCGTTCGGGCGCGCTTCAGACTTAGGCTTCGTCGCAAAGAGCAACCTCAC